TTGAGCAACTTTAATGTTGTTACATTGCTTATAGAATGACACAATGAATAGAAAATGCATTGTTAGCAACTCTGGAGTTTTACATTTGATATTGTTGATGAGGCACGGAGAGTTTGGATTTAAGATATACAATGCATTATACCAGACACAAGTAATAAAATTAAACTTCTCTAGATAATTATGGAAGCATCAGGAGCTTTTTGGTTGTGACCAACATTTGATTACATCCACAGCTGATCTATGATTCTATATAAGTTTCAAAAAAAAAAAAAAAAAAACTGATTCTTGTTTTTAATTTTGACTTACACTTTACACCCCATTTATTGTTGAACTGTACATTTTCTTTTTCATGTTCTTTTTTATTCTCTCTAGTTTTTATTCTTAGTTAGTGCCTGCTTATAATCTTGTTTTCACCCAGGCTCATATGCTAATTTTGTTGTTGTATTAATGAACTGTTTTTCTTAATAAGGTCCTTGACAACACTTATAAACAATATGATTCTCTTCTTGTTTCCTCAACACATATAATGCGATATGTCCATGTTTATTTCTCGAAGACTTATTCTCTCCTTGCTGTAGGAGAAGCTAAGGGTTGCAGTTTTGGTTTCCAAAGCCGCATTTCAATTTATCCAAGGTAAATTTCTTCAGCATTACTCTCATAGCTTATAAATTTAAGAGTCAATGTGTTTACTTGTGTTCATATCCGCAGGTGTGCAACCAAGCGATTACAGTGTTCCAGAGGAAGTTAAAGCTGCAGGTTTTCAAATCTGTGGTGATGAATTGGGGTCCATTGTTGAAGGCCATGATGTAAAGAAGCTCAGATTTCATGGTGGGGTTAGTGGTATTGCACCAAAACTTTCTACATCAACCAATGAGGGGCTTAGCAGTGATACTGATTTACTGAATAGGAGACAACAGATATATGGAATCAATAAATTTACTGAAAGTGCAGTTCGGAGTTTCTGGGTTTTTGTTTGGGAAGCCCTTCAAGACATGACTCTCATGATACTTGGAGTATGTGCTTTTGTTTCTCTCATAGTTGGCATTGCAACGGAAGGATGGCCCAAGGGGGCTCATGATGGTCTTGGAATTGTTGCAAGTATCTTACTGGTTGTCTTTGTGACAGCAATTAGTGATTATCGCCAATCTTTACAATTTAAGGATTTAGACAAGGAGAAGAAGAAGATTTCCATTCAGGTCACAAGAAATGGATATAGGCAGAAAATGTCAATATATGAATTACTTCCTGGTGATATTGTGCATCTTGCCATTGGTGACCAAGTCCCTGCTGATGGACTATTTGTTTCAGGATTTTCTGTGTTGATTGATGAGTCAAGTTTAACAGGAGAGAGTGAGCCAGTGATGGTGAATTCTGAAAATCCATTCCTTCTTTCTGGAACCAAGGTTCAAGATGGATCATGCAAGATGTTGATTACCACTGTTGGGATGAGGACTCAATGGGGTAAATTGATGGCAACTCTCAGTGAAGGTGGAGATGATGAAACCCCATTGCAGGTAAAATTGAATGGAGTGGCAACCATTATTGGGAAGATAGGTCTATTCTTCGCCGTTATTACTTTTGGAGTTTTGGTGCAAGGACTTGTGAACCATAAACTCCAACAAGGAAGCTTCTGGAGCTGGACTGGCGATGATGCGTTGGAGATGTTGGAATTCTTTGCAGTTGCAGTTACCATCGTTGTTGTTGCTGTTCCAGAGGGTCTTCCATTAGCTGTGACATTGAGCCTTGCATTTGCTATGAAGAAGATGATGAATGACAAAGCCCTTGTCCGGCATTTGGCAGCTTGTGAGACCATGGGGTCAGCCACAACTATATGTAGTGACAAGACTGGGACACTAACAACCAATCACATGACTGTTGTGAAAACATGCATTTGTATGAATAGCATGGAAGTGAGCAATAAGACTTCTAGTTTGTGCTCTGAACTCCCAGAATCTGCTGTGAAACTGCTGCTACAGTCAATATTTAATAATACAGGAGGAGAGGTTGTTATTAACAAACATGGAAAACATGAGATTTTAGGGACGCCAACCGACACTGCAATATTGGAGTTTGGCTTGTCTTTAGGTGGCGATTTTCAGGGAGAGCGACAGGCATGTAAACTTATTAAAGCTGAGCCATTCAACTCTACCAAGAAAAAAATGAGTGTAGTTGTGGAGCTCCCTGGTGGAGGTTTACGAGCCCACTGTAAAGGTGCTTCTGAAATAGTTCTGGCTGCTTGTGACAAAGTGCTCAACTCAAATGGTGAGGTTGTCCCCCTTGATGAAGAATCAACTAACCATCTTAAGAATACAATAAACCAGTTTGCTAGTGAGGCACTTAGAACCCTGTGCCTTGCCTATATGGAATTGGAAAATGGATTCTCTGATAAAGACCCCATTCCTGTTTTTGGATATACTTGCATAGGAGTTATTGGTATCAAAGATCCTGTTCGTCCCGGTGTTAAGGAGTCTGTAGCAGTATGTCGTTCAGCAGGAATAACAGTAAGAATGGTTACAGGCGACAACATCAATACTGCCAAGGCCATAGCCAGGGAATGTGGGATTTTAACAGATGATGGCATAGCCATTGAAGGCCCAGACTTTAGAGAGAAGAGTCTGGAGGAGTTGCTTGAACTGATTCCCAAAATTCAGGTGCTTCATACCTTCTATACACACATTACACAATATCTTGATTGCTTCAATACTACTCAATCATACAAATGACTTATGTTTGATCCTAACATAATATTTAATTCCTTTTAGGTTATGGCTCGATCCTCACCTTTAGACAAACACACATTGGTGAAACACCTGCGCACCACGTTTGGGGAAGTTGTAGCTGTAACTGGTGATGGAACAAATGATGCCCCAGCCCTTCATGAAGCTGACATTGGACTTGCAATGGGCATTGCTGGAACTGAGGTGAGTGAAGTGCAATGTTTCCTTGAGTAAACCACTTATTCTACCCTGTTAAAGAGGGCCTTGTAAGGAATGGTCAGATATCGAAACCAAAATAAATGGCAATGCTGTGCTACATTTTAGTCATTTAACTCTTAATCTTTTATTGCAAGGAGAATGCCAGAATCCACCTTATATCATAATTTTTGTACAGGTTGCTAAAGAAAGTGCAGATGTCATAATTCTGGATGATAACTTCTCCACAATAGTAACAGTGGCCAAATGGGGACGTTCAGTATATATAAATATTCAGAAATTCGTACAGTTCCAGCTGACAGTTAATGTAGTTGCATTGATTGTGAACTTCACATCAGCCTGCTTGACAGGTTAGAAAATTTGCCTAATTTGTTTACTTTGATTATGAACTTTACATTTGCCTGCACGACAGGTCATAAAAACATATTTCTTCTTCTTTATCTTATGATATTACTTGCATTTTCTCTCCAGGAACTGCGCCCCTCACAGCTGTTCAACTTTTGTGGGTGAACATGATAATGGACACACTGGGAGCACTTGCGCTCGCAACCGAACCTCCAAATGATGATTTAATGAAGCGTTCCCCTGTTGGAAGGAAAGGGAATTTCATCAGCAATGTCATGTGGAGGAATATCTTAGGACAATCATTATATCAGTTTATGGTGATATGGTTTCTTCAGTCAAAAGGGAAATCAATCTTTTCACTTAACGGCCCCGATTCGGATCTGGTCTTAAACACTCTTATTTTCAACTCATTTGTATTATGTCAGGTAACTTAACTGAAAAACTGAACAATTTGCTTACGAAAAAAAAGAATGAGGAAAGATTAAATTCAAAGTATATGGTATTTCAGTTTTACCTGTTTTATGAATGTGCCTTACCAGATGTGGGTTGATTTGATTCTGCAGGTTTTCAATGAGATAAATTCACGTGAGATGGAGGAAATAGATGTTTTTAAAGGCATATTGGAAAATTATGTTTTCGTGGGTGTCATCAGTGCTACTGTTTTCTTTCAAATCATAATAGTACAATACCTGGGAACCTTCGCAAACACAACACCTCTCACTCTGATACAGTGGTTATTTAGCTTATTCGTTGGATTTTTGGGCATGCCTATTGCTGCTTGCTTAAAGAAGATCCCTGTTCGAAGCACGTGAATGGACAACTCTTCCTCAAAAAGCAATTAAGATTTGTTATAGTTGTTAACGGTGCTTCGAGGTCCTTTATTCTTGTACATTCATTAACTCATCTGTTATTGCTCGAGACTTTCTTGGGTTTGAATTAGAAATGGAGCATCCAAGTAGAACTCTGGAGTCTAGTACTAGTAGCAGTTGTCTTTAAGTGACTGACAACCTGCAATTAACCATTTTATTTAAGAGAAATATGTCTCGTATCGTTGGAGATAACTATCTTATAGTATACACCATCGAATTGTGTTAGTTTTTTCTTTTTTAAATTGTGAATTCCACATATTTGTTTCACCAAGTTTCAAGCAACATGAGATTAGTAGCTTCCTTTATTTAATACATTGTTTATTTTCAAGGCTAGCAGAATAATAGATGTACCTTATTGTAGATAATGTTGACTCTTGTTGTCTAAAAACAACTTGAGGATAAATAAGTAAATAACTAGCCTTCTTCAATTTATTGCTACTTTGAATGAACAAATTCCATTTTTCTTTATGTTTTATAATGGCGATTCTGAATCCGCTATTCCATTCTTTAAAAGCAGTATTTCGATGAATTTCAAGGGAGATGGTAAACTGTGATATCAAACAAGCAGTTCAGCATTACACCTTTTCCTAATTGAGGACAATATTTTTAGTTAACTACGAAAAAACGAAACATGTTATTAAAACAGGAAGGTTTTAATCTAGAGCAAGCTTGAGAGACTGGACAGTAGCAAATTTCTGTACAATTTAGAAGAAAAACAGATGGTATTAGCAAATCGTTTTTTATTGTTACAATTTCGATTGGGCAGTAAAAGTAGAGAATTATGTACATCAGGCATATAAATGACATCACAGAGCACATGCTGACCCTTCCAGTTTCATGTAGATGATTATTTCTAGTCATCTGTCATGTTGACCCTTCCAGTTTCATATAGATGATACATCCAAAGAGGTTCAATCAACTCCTTTGCACGGGTTAATTTCTGCAGTTCATCTTCATCCCTTTCTTCTGCAATTTCCCTCTCTATCTTAGGATAGATTTCTTGCAGAGAAGACAGCATCATATCACCCCAATCCCTGTCATCATGTTTAAACAACTTCGAACATACAAATTGCAAAAGTCCTAAGGCCAGTCCAAAGTCCTTTTGTTCTAGCCCAATAAGTGAAGAAACCAGGAAAATAACCCCAACTGCATCCATTATACTGGGATTCTTTTTCAGTAATATAATCAGCATTGCCAGAAATCTATTGAATGCTGAGAATTTCTCTGGTTGATAATATTTATCATCTTCACCTTCATTTACGCTGGAGAGCTCAGTCTTGGCTACAATCAAGGGCCATTTTGGAAAATGGAATTTCATTTGTTCAGATGTAGTTGACTGTTCCGTACCAAGGTCAGTATGTTTTAGAATATTAGCAGATCCCAATGCCAGTACCATATCAGGCAGCCAAGGTTTGGCTGCTGCAACATGACGTGATGCGTATCCAGAGCCCATGTATGATTCAATTGAAATGATCAAATCAAGTAAGCTACTGGCAAGAGCAAAAGCTTTAGGTGGAATTATGGACGATCCACTGGAATCTGTTAATATCATATTAACTATTTTTGCTGCATAGGTGAAAGAGCTTTTCAGGCAAAAAATAGTATTTTTTTTATCCTCTTCCTCAAATTGAATTTGTTTATGATATAGCTGATCCAATGAAGACACTATATGTTCCACACATTTTGATGTGTAATTTAAGAATAATTCATGGTTGTGAGGAGCAAAACACATAGCAGTGGTGTCAGCCATGAACTTGAGAACAGCAGTAAGCATCTTCACCTCACATAATACTTGTTTGGGTTCATTGCATGCAGATCCTATGCAAATGTTTTTAGACAATTTAGTGACAAACAAAGACAGGAAAGGCATAACAAATATATATCAAATGTACACAGTTCAAATACAACTTGCTAAATATTGTAATCAGTTAGTAACAAGGAGCCAAACATAAACACCACTACAAAAAAACTTGATTTTTAGAAAGAGATTTTCCAATTACTCTGCAAAAAATTAAAAGTTTATTCCAAGCTAAGCAAATAATGAAAACATTGAACACCATAATCATAAAATGAACTACATAAAGCAAATACTCATGATCAGTCCTTGATATTCAAATCTTAAATGACTCGTATAATTTAAATTGCAAATTGAGCATCTACAAATTTATGAAAAAAGCTACATTTTAATGTAGAAGTAGGGATGATATTTAAGTCCTGATAGTCCAGAATAACAAATTGGCATTTTTTGCTCCTTCTGCAGCATAATACTGTCTATATTTTTTTTCTAATAATAATAGTTAAGGGTTAGGAGAGCCATATTCCTTTGTGAAGGAAATGCTGAATAATGCTTTTTAAATACAATGCTCAAAAGTGGAGAAACCTGTACAGAATAGTTAGAACTGAAAAAGTATGAGAAATCTGTGAATATATACATCCGTTTGTCCTGACCCAATTAACTTATATATTTTTACCACAGACCAAATCAATTGTTTTTTTACTTTAAAGATTGATTTAGATTCATAATCAATTGAAGTAATTCTAATATTGCGCTTGGGCTACATTTATTTTCTTCTATCCAGTGCTCGATTTACTTACATTTGGTCAAAGCAACCGGATCCATTATAAGACCTAAACAACAGTTTAATACGTCTTATATATGCATTTACTCACCACCAGTACTTTGGCGACATGCATTTGCAGTAGATAACCTACGTCTTCGTGTGGAATTTTGATCTGTTCTATTGGTAGACTGAAAGTTATCTGAATCCACATTGTTATTTTTTATGATGTCATCTGCTCCAAATAGTTTTTCTAAACAGTTGAGCACATGCTCTATTGTCAGCTCCAAGACAGTCTGCTTAACAGAAACTTTTATCAGCAAAAAAAATGGAAAAACATTAGGCAAGCCATAACTATAAACAACATGATATTATCAATTCCTCTATACAGTCGAGGGTCTCAAAACTCAAAATGAATCAGTGCATTAGGGATAATATTATATCAAGGGAAAAAGCAAATTCAACATTTTGCAGGACAATTGATTTTTTAGCTGATAATGAAAATCAACCAATAAAACTGGGCAAAAGAAGATGCAAATAAAACCATATTCCAAGGCAAACTTATATTACTCACTGGATCAACATGGAATTACAACTGTCAGTAAGGTCAAAAGAAATTCATACTTCCTTGAAATATTACTTTGGTGCTGCTGACCATATATATTATGTATTTGATTTAAAGTTCATAATATACAGGTATTATAAATTAGAAAGAAACAAAAGAAATAAGAGAGACAAAAGTTTTAAGTCAAACAAATACATATTCATATGATAAATTACCAAAGAATATCAGAAGGCATTGATGTACGAGGCAATAAAATATAAATGCACAAAATCATTTTGAAAAACATACAAAATAGAAAATTGAGAACGCAAGAGATGCAAGAAAGTCGGGTAGATAAATTTTAAACAGCTGAAAATTCAACAATAAAAAGTGAGCAAGAAGATTCTACTTGCCTCTGAAAGCAATTTCGAAGAGCCAATCTTATTTTTCTTCCTCTTTGTATCACTATTCTGTATACTATTTGTCCCAACATTATCGACAGTCATTTGCAGAGCAAGTGACATATAAGCCAAAACAGGAGATATGTCCATATATTCATAGTGCCCGCAATGCTCAATGCTGACATCAGAAATCACCTTAAGAGAAAAAAATGACATTTCTAAAGTTTGAGATTTCAAGATAGCTTTTCTGGTATCCTCATGCAGAAGCAAGTCTCTAACTTGCCATGCTATCCCAACAGCTACTAAATAATCATCCTCAAAAGATTGCTTTCTGTTAATTATCTTTGATTTAATTGAATATTTTCCAGAGGATTTAGTTCTCTTTCTTTTAGCAAATGAAACACTATGCGAGGGCATCTCTGCACCAAATTTAATGTGACAACGATACGCAGCCTTATGCAAGAGGGCTGTTAAGATCTCAAACATTTCATCAAAACCACCCAGTGAAAGCAACAACTTATGTGCAGACCTCATTTCAGATTGGCGATCAACATCTTCAGGAGAACCACTGCAGTTTGTGACAACAGCCATGCATTCTTCAAGAAGCCCAGCAACATCATCTAAACCGACAGTGGAGATGATGTTGAATAAGGAAGATCGAGCTTGCCCTGTAGTTGCAACAGTTAGTAAACCCTTCACTTTCTCTCGAGTAAGCAACTCTTTGAGGGCATTTATATAGCTTGGTTCACAGGCTAAGTTATCACAAAGGTAGCTAGCAGCAACAAGAAAACCCTCAATCTGATTAGCATCCAGCTTATCTGGTGACAAAAGCAAACTCAGGAATACTTTGACCAGTTCCATAAGATGAGTTTTAGATGCTCCTTCCAAGATGGCAAACTTGCAAAATCTTGCTCCAGCCATTGGAGACCTTTTTACAAGTGTAATGCACCGATTACATGCTTCTTCAATGGGTATTTTTGAGGGAAAGTATGAAGGTAAAAGTAATTTTGTTATCTTCTGAGCTACAGGGGGTTGATCACTAGCAAGCACAGACAACAGCAAATCTAACTCCACCACCTATATAACAAGAACAGCTCGCCAACCAATCAGAACTGATAATATTAGCAAATATATTAGATACAGGAACTTCTTAATAATTCTGAGTTTAAAAATATATGTACCTTGTTGAACTGAAAATTTCTGACATCCTTTACATGGAGTAAGAGATCTGCTGCAGCAATACGGACTGTGAGGACATTGTCCAGTATTAGGTGCCGCAGTCTTGGCAAGAGCGCCTTAAGGATTTCATGAGAGTGGGTATTGCCAAGCAAATAAATGATGCCATTCAATGTAGAAAGCTTAACCTCGTTGCATACATCATGAGACATGTCATCAAATATTTTTGTAATTATCTTTGTTATGATTGGTGAAGGAATAATTTCCCAAAAAAGATGAAGAACTCGACAAGAACCCTCAACAGCCATTGTTCTCACTTCTGGACAATCATCCATAAGTAACCTTTCTAATAAAAAGAACTGTTTATCAAGCAATGCATCTTTCTCCTCTTTCGAGGCATCAGGATCTTCAAGGGGGAACATGTCCAGAAGTAGATGTAAAGCATTCTGCCGAACATTTGAGTTTGCAACCTATTGAAAAGAAAGTGAAATTCTGAACATAATGACAAATTAAGTAAATATCATAACTATTGCTTATTATAATTTAAGAGCCAGCTAATCCAACAAAATGTTTTTTTATTTATTTTAGAAAACCCAATCTTAAGAGGAACCCAAATTGATTAGTATCACTACGAATTTATAATTGTGTATACCAGCCCTCAAAAGTTAAAATCATGGAACTTTAGAAAGTCATATGCTGCCCTTTTTTCATCTACACGGGCCAGCGGCTGCTCAGTGCTCACAACCAAAGATTATTGATGCATATGTGGTAAACACCTAGAGTTGTGAAAGCCTACCTACTATAGGACAAAGCTTACAACATCATAGTATACAATCACGTTGAAGAAATTTTAAGGACAACTTCAGTGCTACCCTAACATTTTTCCTTTCCCTGCTTATCTTAGCGTCCTTGTAACACACAAGTCTTTATATGGAAGGTTTGGCCAACCAACGTTCAACATATGATAAAATGTGGGGAGGGGGGGTTTCATTTTTTGTGAACGGTTTACCTGCAGAGACCTAAATATGACAGGCTCGGAAAGTCGATAAAGAAGTTTCTCAACCCCATCGGTTGTCCTCTGGTTAATAAAAGCCTCCAAAACCCTCCTAATATACGAAGCAAAAGCACTTGAACTGGCGTATATGGCAGCGTCAATCAAATCCTGTAAGAATCCATTCTCAATTTCATTCCTCGAATCGCCTTGTGAAGCTTTCCATGCCCGAAACATTATATCCCCATACGACTCCAGCATAGACTTTCTTCCAAATGGTATCTGGGAACGAATCATTTCCAACAGTTCCTTCTTAAGCTCATCGCTTAGCCCAAAGATAAAAGCCAGGAACTTCCTTCCATCTTCTGTTTTCAAATATAAGGGCGAAATTACACATCGAACCAACAACAGCTTCAAATCCTCGATGCTCTCATCCTCAAAATCAAACAGAGCGAACGCCTCCCGAAGCATATAAACCCTGTGCACGTCCACCTTCTTCTTCAGTGTCAGCGATCTCGAAAGCAGAAAGGGGAGGGTCTGCGTAATCAACGATTCTCGCCCCGGCAAATTCTCCTTCCACCATGCTACGCACAAAGATTCGATCCCCGAAGACAAAACCGAATCGGACTCTAACACGACCAAATTATCGTGCAAGGCCTGAACGCCGGGAAGAAAATCGGACGGAGAGAACACTTTTCTAGGGTGCGAAACGCATAACAGCGCGACGTGAGCGAGAATTTCGAGACGCTCTAGAACTTTCTGCTTCTGGTCGGGTTCGGGTTCGGGATCGGAGCGGGTGTTGGAATGGCGGGAAGAGCGACGGAGGCGCTTGGTGGGAGGGGTGTGAGGGGGGCTGCTGAGGTTTGTTGAATGTGATTCTAGAAGGTTCCGGAAGGATTGAACAGAGGAGGAGATGGAGTCGCAGAGAGAGTGAGGGAGAGAAGAGCAGAGGTGAGAAGAGGGCTTAATGGAATGGATTAGGGTTTTGAAAGAGGATTTTGAAGATTTCAGATTCAGCTTTGTGGCTAAAGACAAAAACTCTTGTGCTGAGGATTGAAGAGATGAGCGAAGCTTCTTCTCCATCGCATGCACTTTCTCATTCACAATTCAAATTTCCGATCGACAGAGAATAAGAATAGCACAGCTTCATGAGAGGGAAAAGTTTCAACTTTCAAATTCTCATTTCCCAACTGAGTAAGTGTCAAGTTGTGCGTTGGCCCACATTGTGTTGATGATGTTTTCTTTGGGCCCCCAATATCAAACTAGAATTCTTACACTCACCCCCATTGGGCTTCAACCGCCATAATAGCCCGACCTCATAGTTTTTATTAATTTATTAAACAAATGCAAAAAAGGAATACAAGTTTTTCAAATTTAATAAGTTATCTATATTAAGACCAAAATGACGTGGTTTTGAGCCGAAAATTAAAGTATTTTTATAATTATAATTTATTTTAGGATTATAATAGTCTTTTTAATTATAATTTTTTAATTTTTCAACGTAAAACGATATTATTTTAAGAATGAATATAAATAATTTATCTATATTTACTGTAGAAATATTAAAGCCATTATTAAATCTAAAAGGTGTGGGTGAAAACTTCACCCTATAAGCGTGCACTATGTATTAACAGATTATTTTTTTGTTTTATTTTTTAAAATTTGAGATGAATTAACAAATGAGAAAGGGGTGTCATGTAAGATATTTTTTAGTACATAAAATCGAGAGTTAAAATAATAAGTTAACAAAATAAAACATGTATTGTGCATAATAAATTATGAATTTGTTAAAATATATTATATTAATCTTTCAGTCATAATTGTAAGTTTGCACTGCACCCAATCCGAATCCTTCAATTATCACCCATGAGCAGAGAGTGCAGATATAGAACAGCGCTTGAGAGTTGAGAGCATATCTTAAAATGGAGAACACGTGTTTCATCACAGTGTAAAGCCCCCCTCCCTCCCTCATAGGAGGTTTACTTTATACGGTACGGTACGGAGTTATGAACATTAATTAAAACACTGATTCTAAAAAATAAATATGGAAAATTATTTTCTCACATAACATGAGATATTTTTCTCATGTTATGAAATATTAAAATTCGAACTATTTTTTTTGTTTTTTCTTCTTTTTTAATAAGTGGTGGGTCCCACTACTTATTGTGTCTATATGAAAAAAGAGAAATCCAATAAATATACATACATAACAAATTATGAAGTTGTTATTATTTACTTGTTGATCTTTCAATAAAGAGTTATTACTTTACACTTTACCTTTTAAAATACATCCCTTACTTTAAAAGAATCAAATCCATCTATTTTTCTTTATAAACAAACATTTTCCTTTTGTAATTCAAGTCAATATTGTTATAGACCATAAGATAGTCTCCCAGAGAATGAAGATAACTATGACACTCAAGCGAGACAACAACTTGTTTCCAGGTTACATTGTCATCTCCGGTTAAAATCTTGAAATTTGGTCCCTCCTCTACCATATGTTCTCGAGCTAATTAATTTTGTCCATAAGTCATTTATCACTCAAATGAGACAATTGTTTTTTGTCCAATCGAAAGAAGAAAATAGAAAGATGACAAAACGTTTTTCTTATGACACACATAAGAGCAAAAACCCCTTGGTCGTATAATGCAAATGTTTGCGGTCCAACAAGCATCTCTCTGCATGAGAGTTATGCATATGGAAGCATTTGAACTTTAAACCATGCGACATCCAATGTTGAACTAAGTGTGTTTATCCTCTCACCATATATCTCTTTGGTTCCTTATTAAGACACAACCTTACATATTGATTACACAGTAAAATTTTAGTTACTAAAACAACGCAGCCTTCATCATGGATTAACTGTCTGTCTTCATCAATATTATGCTCCAATGTAGCAGCTCTAGGATTCATTAATTGAGCGGAGTCTAAAGTCTGTGAAGAGGGTAGTTGCACTTGTTTGTCAAAGGTATATTTTCATATTACAAAAAAAAAAAAAAAAAGTATATTTTCATGCAAAGAAGATTTTATCAGTCAGTGAATCCCTTTTAACTCTTCGTTGTGCTTATAAATTATTCAGCTATCATTGATCATGTGAATTCTGCTCTCACAGAGATCTTATGTGTCAGAAATTTGACCATATCTGCAATTTTAACAGCAAGATTTTACCAACGAATGTGCATGTGCTAAAAGAATCTCCATCACTTCTTCAGTCTTCATGTGAACCATGGAACAATAAGGTTGATGCCAGACTGGATAAGTATGCAACTCACAAGGGCTTGTGGAGGGATAGAGATTCTGACACCAATTTCCCATTCCATAACTTCCCCTCCACCCTAAACCAAACAAGATCATCAGGATTTTTTTAATTTTACTTTTTTAATAAACTCAGGGTGTCATTGTCCCATAGGATGAGATTATTCTCTTCGTGGCTTGAAGCGAGTCCAAAATACTTCTCGTAGAAATTGAACTTATAACTTCATTAGTCACCAGAATCCGACCCTTAAACTGAAGTCCGCTTAATAACTGAGGTACACTTTTGGGATTGAGCACCAACATCTCTTATTCTATGAATTATGATAGACTGGGCCCCATTACAGTATATTGAAAGAGCAAGCTTTTAAAAATCCCAGCAAAATGTGTCACCTAATAGCAACCTAGAAGGGTATTTCTTGTTTTGTCCATTTAGATATTATTTCAAAGCTGTCAGGGATATATTTCAATCAAACAAATAGATCCATTATAGTTGCTTGGTTTTGCTGATCAATGTTTTTGAAACCATTTCAAAAGAGTTCCTTGATTCCATTCACAACCATAATGACAATACACAATCTACAAGATTCTACAAAAATTAATTATGTACCGGGCCAATTGAACAAATTATAGTTTTTTCAAATAACAAACATACAATGATACAATAGGATACTTCTTTTGGATAAAGATATAGAATGTGCATAATAACCTTCTCAGAATTTTTTATTTTTATTTTTGTTTCTATAAACAAAAATGGATAGAAACAGTGTTTGACAATATTGATTTATTTTTTTGTTTTGCAAAATGAACTGATTCAACTTATGTGCTGGGGAACAGAAAAAAGAATTAATTTTTTATCTTGGCATAAATGAGAAAAACTTGTCTCTCTCGATCACTCCCCATCACTACCACCATCACCACCATCACCATTCTGACACGACCACCGCTACCATCATTGTACCACAACCATGATGCCACCACCACCTCCACGTCATCGCCACCATCACCAACCATTACTACCATCACTACCGCCACCACCATTGTTACCATTATCATCATCATTGCCGCAGTTACTACCGTCACCACCACCACCACCACCACTATCACCGCCGCCGCTGTCGCCACCATTACCGCCATGCCACAAACACCACCACCACATCATATGAAAATGAAAGTGATGATCCAAAAAATTTTATGCATAATAAGAATGATTTTTTATTCTATTATTTGTTGTGTTATCAAAAACAATTACCATTCTCAGAATAAAAATAGAACATGTTATCAAACACATTTTTTTTCTCAGAAATTATTACAAGGTACAAAAATAGAAAAAAAAATTCTTTCTTTTAATAAACAGTTCGTTAATAAAATAGATTTCATGCACATTTATAATAAGATGAGTAATGTTATTCTCATCTCTCACCATTCCTCATAGACTAGTAGGAGCCTAATCTCTACGGTTCAATTTTCTTTTTCTTTTTTTCCAATTAGTGTTTCTCTTTGAACTCGAAGTCCTATGAAACAAAACTTTAAATGTAAGTATAATGTGTGTAATAGAATACACCAATGTTATCTGTTAAAAACTTTTATTATATTATTTTACATTACTTGTTTAAAATAAAAAAAAATAAAAACAAACATTCTGATACATCATATAATGTTTTTAATAGAAAAGATAGAAAAATTATATAAGAAAATTGACTTAGAAATATTTCTTAACAAAATTCGACAAAAATAACCCCTTTTTCTGAAATTAGTGATAACCAAAGCTTATGCTAGGTAAGCTGTGTTAGATTATCTCCTTTAATGTAACCATTTCAAATTTTTTGTAGCCTTTCATCAATTTGATATTTTTAGGAAGAAGTGACACCCTACTAGTCCCATAACTACAAAGCCTATACCATTTATAGGGCTCTAACATCACTAAATCATAATACACAGTACACAACTGACGGTTAAAAGAAAGTTTCCAAGTCCTCTTGAAAAGGAGCCTCCCAGTCCCACGTCCCAAGCAAACACATAATAACATTCAACTTTTACAAGCTTTATCAATGGCCCAACCCAAATGTTACACAGATACATCAAATCAAACAAAACCAATTCCCCATTTTCCGTGGCTTTCGGCCTTTCGAAAGACATAGAAAGCATCCCAAGCTCCCCAACAAAGGGTAGGGTTGCTGTTGCTATTATTGTATACATACATAAAAATATAATTCCCATCAAAGCAAAAAAGGGGAAAGAAAAAAAGAAAATGCAGTTGAATGACTAGAAATTTAGTAAGAGCATTTCAAGAAAGCAAACACTGCCCAAAATCATTACTGACAAATGGTCTTCAATATATAGCTTTCTGGCTTTCATTCATCTTTCATATCACCTCCTCCTTAAATGTCTTGTACGGACTTTCAATCAGCTTCATACTTACTGTTGGGTAAAGCTAATCACTTTTTATTTATTTACTCTTCCTTTTTTTTCTCTTCTCTCTATCATCTTGGTTGTCACTCGTGGAAACTTTTTGTTGGGTGCTTGGAAATAAAACCCCAATCATCAATACCAAATCATTCCACAAAATGGTGGATGACACTCATTAGACCTATAAACTAACAAGAATCAATTCTGACACTCGTCTCATTACACCTATAAATTAACAAGATTAAATTTTTCAGTAGAAAAATATCCTATAATCCAATCAGTAAACACCAATCAAATTTTCCTTGTATAGATCACAAACTCTGCGAGGTGCAATGCAAACTAAGGCCGATGTAACTTTTGTTCCGGACAAAATTCACTGTCCTCAAAAGTAAGTTTTCTCTTAGCTCCGAAAGAAGTTTCAGATGGGTTCTCAAGAACACACGTGGAGCCCGTCTGGGTTGACAATAAAATCGAGGATGGTGTCTTAACGTTGTTTCTCCTCTTTTCCTGTATTAGACTGTAGCAGGAAAAAACATGTCCCTGTTGCATACAAAAAGCAAACATCATCAAACTGTGTTATGTTACTTTATTTCAATTCTCAACCCAAATAAGAAGATTTGAAGAACAACCAAACAACTGTTAACACTCATGAATACACTGTTAAATACACTCACACTTTCTAGATTTCCCCATGATGAGATTACGCTTATTCGAAGATCCATGGCCTTTCTTGTTAATGTAGCATCAAAAGCTGCCAATATGGCAGCAGAGGCAATTATAGATGGCCGTTGATCCATCAAATTAACATCTGCAAAGGAAAAACTCACCTTCATATGTAAAATCTATATACTACTATTTCATATTGAGGGAATTGCATTACAGAAAATCACCTTTGACCATAGCCACAATATGTTCCGTGGCTTTTGTGATTATTGTTTCAGGTCTGGATCCAGGGCAGAACTTGCTGACAAAGTAATGCAAGTAAGAAAATGGAGTTGCTGATCCCATTTTCCATTCCAAGGTACACAAAATCAGAAGTTCCATGTTCTTAATAACTTTGTTCTCAAAGCGATATTCTGCTATTGGATATTCAGATAGAGGCGGCACCTTTTGCTCTTCCATCTTTGCTGCCAGGGATAAACTTGCCACTGATAATAATTGAATAGCCCAAGGTTTGGATTCCTGCATCATTCCATTCCAGATAGAAAAAACAAAAAAGGAAAAAAGTTAAAAAGCAGAACAATCTGAAAGAAAGGATTAAGAATATAGTGAAACTATCACTGAGTTTAAGAAATTATGTCAATGCTTACATCGATGGATCTCTTTGAAAGAAAGCGATCAAAGTAAGTCACTGATAAATAAGCTGTCTGAATTTTGAATCCAAATCTTGCTTGTGTCTGAATAAACAATATAAACTTTCAAGAGCAGAACAATCAAAAGCAAAGCAAGCACAATGATAAGAGTTGGGGAAAAAAAAATAAAGATTGCTTGGTTTGGCTCATGAAAACTAACATTGAAAATCCAGTCAATGGCATCCATACGAGCACTCCTCAACCAGTATCTGCTTGAATAATCATCAGAGGACAAGAAATGATTATGGGATCCGAAACCCATTTCTTGTCCGAACAAAAACTCAATGTATTCCTCTTCATCGTCCTCAAAAACAAAACATGGGTTATCAAGTGAGTCAATGCCAGCGTGTTCATCTTCGGCTTCAAAGAAGCTATCTTCACCTTCTTCACACATGAGGCTAGACAAAGAAAAGGTGGTGCCAGAGCTTCCCATTTTGTTTCAATATGTGTTTCAACAAAATTTCTCAAAGTTCACTTAACTTGTCGCAGAATCTAACCGCTAAATACTAGGAAATCTAGAAAGAGAGAGAGAGAGATTAGATGTGGGGAGGTAGAGTGAAGAGTGGATAGGAATGAGTGGGAAGCAGCGGTTTTTGGTGCCGCCAAAATAAGAAGATGAGATATAAAGGGACGTTAATTAGCGGTTACAGGGTTTTGAGCTGTGTGTGTATGGGTATACACTCTGTACACCCCACAAGTGAGTGTGAGAGAGAGAGAGTAGAGTGTAGTGGTTTTAAGTCATCCCAAAAGTCTCTCTCCAAATGTTGGGAGATTGCAAACTTCCCAATATTAGGAGTCCATGGGGTATTGCTATGGTACGTGCCCAACAGTTTAGGACAGCTGTAGGATGGTCACTTTTGTCCCATGTGATGGTAGAGGATTTCATTTGGTCTTAATTTTCATCATCGTTCACCTTGTTTTTTCTTGCTACAGTGTTTCTCTAATTATGTGCTGGTATACATTCTGATTGTGTATGTTATCCTTCAATAAAGAAGCCACTAAAGCTCAATCCTACCTATCATTGAGCATGCTAAAGTAGAATTTGTAAGAAGAATATGCACACGAAAAGTGGAATATATGAATTATAAATTACTGAAAAAAGTTCCTTAATATATTTTTATTTGAATTTTAATGACTTCAAATTAAAATGTAAACCCTTTAGTTTTTTTTTTTTTTTATAAGGATTATAGTATGAGCTCCATGACCTTACCTGTCGCCCAACTTCCATTCAAATGTTATTATCAATGGTCTCACTTGTTGGCTTTCCCTGTCTCTTTTTTGGTTTCAGACATCCTTGTGTTCCAAATTAGGCCCTAATGTCCACATTTAAGCATCAGCATCAAATATGAGCAATTGAATCCACATCTTGTCAGCTTCTTGTCAAGACAATGAATGTACAACTATAATTTTTCTCTCCGCAGAGTCGGCACATCCAAACGAACATAACAATTATGATCAAACAAATAGATCCGTCTCATTTAAAACCACTGCTTGCTATTTCCTTATTACTCATTTAGACTAATCCATTTTAACTTCAAAATAATTCTCAGAATCAGTGTAAAATGGATACAATAACTAGTTCAGCTACCATTAACTCATCGTGCGCGCTATTTTAGGCATGAAGATTATTAATGTTCTTTCTGTAGCTTTCTTCCATCCATGTAATTAACCTTTTTGTCGTTTGTTATCAATGAAAAGTGCTTAAAATCACTGTAAGCGCATAGTGGTTCTCAGCTATCCTCCTTATTTTCTCTGGGAAACGAGGATATTAATTATTAAAAGGGCGGAAAATTGGAAAAACTACGTGGACTTCACTTACCACGAAGTCTTCACGCTTTTGTTTCTAAACTGTTAGGAGAAAGCATTTTCTCAATAGGGAGCTCATTTTTTTACTACCATCCCTTATGTATTAAGGCCAGTAGATAATTATAATATTAATTTTTTTTTCTTTTCAGAAATTCTCTAAAACCTTGTTTGCTGATACGAAGAAAAGAAAAAAAAATAACTTTAAATATTATAACTATTTATTCGAGAAAGTATATAATTATGATAGATGATAGTGAAAAAGTGAAGTAGTATGAATATACTCCCTCTTTTCTTAATCGGATAATCAGAAAACCCTGGCCATTGGTGAATTGATTATGCACCAACAAGAATGAGCAGAAGAAATCAGTGAATCTTTTTTTATCAAAGAGAAACTAGAGGTTATGGCCCTAATATATTTCTTAATACATATGGCAGTTTAAATAACTAACTAGTTAATTTTAGAATTTAATTAAACTAAATGACACAAGATCCAAAATCTGGGATGCCATTAAAACATGTGTACTTGCATCTTTTACAGTCCTTGACTGCCAGATAGGATCACACTGCTCTGCTCACCATAATAAATAGTGAATTATATATCATCATTAGATTGCAAGCATGTTTATCAATTAGCTTATATCACAGGGACAAGGATATACATTTTAATCCAATAATCAGTAATTAACAAACTCTTTGAATATCATAATTGATAAGGGGGGGTACGGTGTATTGAGGGGGCCAGAATTAGAAGTTAAGAAAAGAATTGATGAAAGTATGAAAGCACACGTGAATAAAATAGCAGGGGAGGAGCGTCTTCACGTGTGAAAGGCTGGACCACTTCCAGTCTGTTTAAGCATCAAAGATTTTATAAAAGAAAGGCAGAGGGAGGAAGAAGACGCTCCTGGTCTATCCTAAGTTGCTACCCACTCACTCATAATAGAATATATCATTATAACTGTTACATGAGATGTGGCACAGTCCTAGACTCCTAGTACGTAGCATATGATATTATTAATTACACACATACTTATATTTTTATATATATATATATAAATAAATGAATACTTAGGACGATACATTTTCTTTAACTTTTAATTTTATTTTTTTTTATTGATGGTGTTTAGCTTAGGTAACAGTGATGGGAAGACTAGGTAGAACCTTTGACTCTGAAACATCAGCAAACCCAAGATGGTCAGCAAGTTTGACCGTGTATGATTCTCTCTTCTCTTGCTTACAGGTGCAGAATGGGGGTGGGGAAAATCATGGTTCCAAGACCACTCTGTTCTTAATTCAATCACTATGTGTCACTGAATGGCCTGGCCTGCACACACTCGCACAAAGAATAATGACAAGGCTCAATTTGTATGTATCATATCATGAGTGCGTGAGATTTTTTCTGAGACAAGAGAGCGATTATAAGAGACATGTACTGTGCATGAATGAGGTTTATATGGAAATATTTTATTTTATTTTAAAAAAAAAAGCATGGTTGGAATTACTGATGTTGAGAATTACTGGGACTGGGTGTGTGATATGTGTTGCATTGACAGCATTCAGCAAATTGAATGTTGTAGGTTTTCATCATGTCGCAACCACCCCCATTATTCCTCTTCCATTTTTATATGTTGTTGCTGTTCCATTATCAAATTGTATGACGATGGATGATGGATGGTTGCTATTGTTGTGACCTCATTAATTAATTTGCCCATAGAGCCAAAAATGTCGCACAATACGATAGACTATATATATATACACTTGCAAGGGAATTTTTTTTTGCTCAAGTGTTTCCGTTATAGGTGTTTTAATCTTAATAATACAGTTTATGGAATAATTAGCATCATTTGATAAGTGAGTTAATTGTATGATATCTGCTTTAAATTTCACGTAATTATCTACATTGTTCAAAGGTAATTGTACGTTATGATTAGTTGACAATGGGCAAAAGCGCTAGTTAAAGGGGCAAAAATAGCTAGAACACAACATTTTTTAAAGAAAAAAAAACATTTTTTAACATTTGAAATTATTATTACTTTTTCTTTTTCCGACTTAGTTTCTCCATAATGTATATTAAAATTAGCCTTTTGATAAGTATTATGTGCCTCTGAACCTGCATTTATTTTATTTAAAATTAAAAAAAAATGAACAGTAATAAGAGTTCATTATAATTTATAACTACAAAATTTTCCAAAAATACAAAAAAGTATAATTATGATATGAGAAGTGGGTAAGTGTCTGAAGACGGTGCAACAAGTATAATTTTATCCTTTTTTGTATTTTTTTAATTATAATAATGTTATTTGAAAAATTAAAAATAGTAATCGAAAGAGACAATTCCCTTCATACTAATATAGAATAGAATATATAAAAATAGGTAACTATAGAACATAAGTTGTGATTAAATCTCACTCTTTCTCCTCCTCCTCCTCCTTTATGTGTTAATAAAAAATTTTACTGCTTGAAATTCTAAAAATATCGGGAATCAAAATATGTATAAAAAAATATAAATACATCTTATATTCATTAAAAATATTCATTAAAATATTTATAAATAAAAATAAAATCTATGAAACCAAAAATAGTTATTATTCTATAAATATAGTTGCCTTCGAAGTTCCATTTTTTTTTTGTTTTTAGTATTGTTACCATGCACTTCAAGCATTCTTCATAATTTATTATTAGTTATTCTAATAAAAAAATATAAATTGATTGATTGGTAGTGCTATTAATTTAAATACTAAATACTAATATATTTTTTAGCACACTTTCAACATTGAAAATAAAAATATTTTACAAAAAAATAAAATTAATACTAAATATAAAAAAAATAGTTAAGATTGTATTTTTGGTTATTTTTTAATTAGAAGAATGATAATTTCCTTTTATCAAACGTGATTAGTTATCCTTAACACAACAGTGAAAACATGTTTGATAAAAGGAAATAAATCAAACGTGTTTTGTGCATAATTAACAGAAAAAAAAAATATGCAGCAAAAACAGAAATATTAAATTCAACTAAATATTATGCATATTGTTTGGTTAACTACAATGGAGTCATCATAAAGAGAAAATAGATCTTTCATATATTATTTAAGGGACAGATTATATTTATAAACTTTTTTGTTTACAAACTCTTATAAATTACACTCGACCGCACTACAACAAAACCGGTAAATAACGTCGATTTAATTTCAGCTTAGCGGCCGTTTAAAACGCCACTAAAAAGAACAGCGTCTGTTTTCTTAACCGCCTGCGAAATTGGCGCCGTTAAATCATTTAATGTGATTTAACGACCTTTTAGACAATCGTGGGTATAACCGCCCCTGGATATCTCTTTCAATATTTTTTAACACTGTGGCCGTTTTAAACCGCCGTTGTTCCTTTTGGAAAATTAAAAAAAAATTAATTTTAAATTTTTAACATATCTTAAAAGAAACAGTTTTTTTTTAGTGTTATTTATTTGATAACAGCAATTATCTATCTCATCAAATCCTAGACAGTATCTTTAATTATTAGATAGTTTCAACCAAAATTTAAGGCTAAATATAATTTGGTATAGAAAGAGACAAGAATATATAGCAAAAGGAATAAAAAAAATATAAAGGTAAATTGATTAATTTTTATTATACCACTTTGGTCAGTTGCCAAATTATAACAAATTCATACGGACATAATGATTTATGCAATATAAAACCATCACAACCAAAATTGAAATGCATTTACACTACTTGCACCATGCTTGACAAAAAATCTGGTGCCGATATCCAAAAAAATCATTGCACCAAATTGACCATGTTGTGATCAAGATCAATCTTACATATAGGATGGTCCAACCAACAAACAAAAAACAGTCGTGGTTTATCAAATTTTGGCTGTTCTTTAGGCTCTGCCAAAAATCGGGTTCTCTACTAATTCTGGGTCCATCATGACCTAAATGAATCACCAAAAAAATTAGACAAATCAACCAAATTAGGCATAATATCTGAATAAAAAAAGAGCAAAACAAAACATCAGGAAAATTGTGAACTCCTTAAAATTTAAAAAACAATACTAATTATACAAGAAAATTTATAAAGATGATTACAAAATAATAAAAATGTATAATAGTTATACATACGTAATTTTTGTTTTCTTTGAAAAATAAATGTATGAGTAACTACAAATATCAAATTAAGACAGAGGCAAACAATGGAACTATGACTCTAACAAATGCCATGTCATGAAGCACGGTCATGTAAGGAAGTTAACCTGGTATTAATGCAGAGCAATTTTTTATGGATATGATGTGATCATATAGCTCCATATGAATGTACAGCTGTTTATTTTCAAACCATGAAGAATAGTAACCCACAATGTTCTCATGGGAACCTAGAGGCAAGATGGAAAATGAAATTTAGGAAAATAAAATTAATATAAAAGTCATTATGCAACATAAAATAAAAATTGAAAACGTAAAATGCACACCTGAGGCTGCCAAAGCTTTTCTCCTGCAATGTCAAAGGATTAATACAACAAAAGGGAAGAAACATCCACAGGTATTAAGATGGTACCTTTCTATTTCCTGGCATAACTGCCTGGTGCTGTGTTTCACAGCATACAAGCAACCATCTATCCGCTTTAATACTTTGAAAACTCATCTAAAGTTCCCTCGACCAATTTGTTGATAAGAAAAGGGAAAATTATACATCAAATCAGAAAGTTGAATGGCAGCAAGGTAATTCCAATTTCAGTTGGAATTTCTTTTTGAAACATACTACCTCAATTTCGTGAAAGTCAGTCGATAGCGTGAAAATCCATCACCACCAGTAAATGCAGGGAAGAGGCCTGCAATTCAACCATTATGCAGTTAGAAAATTGCAATAGGTGTGAACAAAAACCCAAAATATATAATATCGTACAGGTTGCAACTACTTTCTCCACAATTATTAAAAATGATTCGCGAAAAAACTGACCAAAACTATACCAGCACATTTTGATCTTTGGTTTCCAAAGGGATTTGCCTCCTTTTCTGAAACATCTTTCAAATAGGGGTTCCTAATGCAAGGAGGAGGCATAACCCTACACCGCAATGCAACTGTAGAATATGACACAATTTTGTGCCTTTGGTTTACCAGTTGTTATTGTTTTCTCAACAGCTACTACTTCCTCTGCAATAGGGTCCTTTCCAAGTTCCACAATTTGTTGATGGTCACTAGAAAAGGTAGGGCTGAGAGGGTTTACTGAGATAGCATCTATGACAAATATGCATATCAATTATAGAAAATAGCTTAATAAATTTACATGGTAAAAAAAATGTATAAATACACATATATATATATATATATATAGCACTACTTGTTTTCAAGTGGTAGTAAACCCATGCAGTAGGCAATGTATCAAAATTCTTGAGGAAGAGTGATAAAAAATAAGACAACTCTAATTATATTAGACAAAGTTCCTTCACACTTGCCAAGCATGATGGAATTTGATTTAGGTTCCTCCCTATCACAAAAGGCAACAAGGATATTTTGCATAATCTTGTACAGGCTTCCTCACAGTACTCAGATTCTCAAATTTACAGGTCCTTTGTTTTAATAAACATACATACAAGCAGAGCACAATCTCTCGGATATTAATATAACCTTACAATTAATATGAGTTCTAAAAGTTATCTGCATGACTTCGTATCATAGCATTTGTTAGCAAACTCCTCACAATAACGCAATTTCGAATGCGGAGTAACAACATGTAATTTAGTCTTACCCAGACGACATCTCTTGCTTTTAGTAGTATTCAGCTTCTCCGGTAATTTGGGGTAAGAGGTATTTTCCTGCGAGAAAACAATGATAAAAAAACTTTAAAAGCATAAAAAATAAATCTAGGATAACGAATTAAACATTGAACGAACAATGCAAGAATCTAAATTGAGATTTCAAAAATAAATGGACCCATGCACGGAGCAAAATCGGCGTGGTAGAGAAAACCGTTCTTGGAAAGCCTATCCTACACCTCACTCCAAGCATTAATTCTCCAAACCCTAACCCCCTTTTCTCATCGATTGAAGTTCCTCTGCATCATTATTACCATAACAATTGCATTCTTCTTCAAGCGCTCAGAAGCGCGTCGAATCATCAACAACAAATAATTCGAACGAAGAAAATGAATGTTGAAGCTGATTGGGAAATGTTTCTAGCGATATGTGAAGATACAGATAGAGAGTTTTGAGGGAAAATGTTAGTGAAATAACGGAGTTTTGAGGGGAAAATAAAAAGTGGTGAACACTGCGGTCACTTAACTCTGTTTTAATCACAATTATTTGTTAGAGTTAAGGGCGCTTTGGACAAATGACACGAAGCCACCGCCACTGTATACCGTTTTTGTGGTAGTGCCGGTTCCTACATTAATCACACAGTGTACGACCGGTTCTACATTAGTGTAATTGCAAAAAAAGTTTCCTGTCCCATTATTTAATATGATCATATATGTGAGAAGATCTTAACCACCAATGAACAGATTAACACTGATAATTTTAGAACTTTTTATCTCAATATGTTTTTTTTGTCTTCTCCAATCACTATTGATTTACCCTTATATAATTAGAATATTTCCATATTAAATAATATATAAGAGGATCACCCCACGTCCGCATGGGTTTCCTACTCTTCTATTAGGAGTTTTTATCGTTTTGGAGCGTGTTCACTATTCAGTTTAAGGTGAAAAATTTATTATTGTGTTTTATAAGGACAATAATTGTATTAAAGACCAACATTTACATTGCTGAATGCCAAAAAAATTTGGGTAATGGTTTTATGTCAATTTTTAAAAAGGATACCAAAATGAGTTTAACTTATCTAAATAATAGGATTAGTTCCTTTTGTATTTGACATCGGCTTCATTGAATTTTTTTTTTAAGGTTAGAAACATACGAATTTTTTTTAAAAAATTATAAATTTATTGGACAAATGAAGAAAAGATTGCTTACGCAACCCGAAACGAATTATCATAATGCAAAGTCAAAAGATATCAAAACAGTTTTTCATCCTTGTAAATTTGCTTCACGAGCTTTCCTGTTGTTGGGTTGGGTCAAATTGAATATTTCTTATCACAAATAGTAATAGCCAAGAAGCCCGAATGATATTTTGCCAAAAACTGAATAACAAAAAACAGTTTTTTTTTTTTTTTTTTGGTAATCAACAATTTTAAAAACAAAGAGGTCAAAGAATTTCACTAATTTAAAAAAATAATATATTCTTCATATTGTATGAGATAGTTTATTTCATATAAAAAAAAGTGAGACCTATTTTTTTCCTTCTCTCTCCTCTTTAGTAAGTCTCATTAACTTTTTTTGTCATTAGAAAGTAGAAACATATTTCCCTTTTAAAAAATATGAAAAAGTTCAAAAACTCCCTATGATTTTACTTTGAAGCGCTTATCCTTTTATATATTTTTTTTAATCACTTATCCCATATATTTTTTAATCTAAACTCATCCTTAATGTTGTTATAAACTTGATTAATCTATATATTTTATTATTTTTAGAAGAAAAAAATAAATTGATGAAAAAAAAAAGACCAAATCATTGAAAACTTACAATACTTAATGAAAAATATTAAAAATGAAAAAAAAACAAATATGTATAAATGAAGAAGAATAAAATATAATGAGGACAAAAAAATAAGATTAAATATGTTAAAATTCTACTTAGTGACAAAAAAGACTAAAAAGGATATAGAAGAAAAAGAAATCAATATTTTAATTTGGTCCTTTTTTTTCTTCTTGTTTTTTTTTATCATATTATTTTATTTTTTTAAATTCTTTTTATATTCTATTGGTATTTTGTTTCACTTTTTTTTTTCTATCACTATTAAAAGAAATAGGAAAAAAATAAGACAAACAAGAAATAGATGACAAAAAAATTAATTTTGTAAGTTTCCAACATATTTGATCTTATTTTTTCTTATATTTTTTATTGTGCTTAGTCTATTTTCTTCTTTTATGATTTAGACTATTTTTTATTTTTATCTTTACTTTTATTTTTTCTGTTACCATTGTAAATGTGTAACATATTTGGTCTTTTTTTTTTCTTCTAATTTTTTGTCCCATTTTTTTTTAGTACAAGTTATTTTCTTCTTTTATTTGACCTTTTATTCCCTTTTTTTTAGTTTTTTTATATAAGTGTTGTAAGTTTTTAACATATTTTGTCTTGTATTTTGTTTTATTTTTTATGCCCAATTTATTTTCTTATTCTAAGAAGGGTAAAATAGACAAATTAGTTGAATTTCCAACAATATTAAAGATGAATTTAAATGTAAAAAAATCATAGAAAAATAAATGATTAAAAAAATAAAAAATAAAGTCATTTAAAGCAAAACCACATCAATTTTAAAACTTTCCCTTTAAAAATATTAAGGTTTTAAAATGTTATGTAATATGAGGTACTCTTCTTAAAATCCAACCTGGCTTGATTAACCTCAAGTCATATCGGCTTATTGAGTTGGTCTGGGCGTTGGAAACCCTTAGGGGACGTTTGGTAGAAGAGAATTTTTTATTTATTTGGACATAATAGATTACTGGAATATAATAGAAAATATATTTTGCTGAAATGTTACTAAAATATTGTTTGGTATGGTCAAATTTTCTCGAAATTTTGTGGTTTATTTTATTGAATGTGTGTTTGGTTGATTGTGAAATATTAGTGGGAATGTGAGGTTATTTTACGAAAATAATCCTACTTTTACTTTTTAATATTATATTATAATCAACGTTAAACATTTAATATTTATTATCGTAATCATTTGACAATAAACGGTTGATGAAGTGAAGTTCATTTGCTACCAAAAAGTAGAGTTATTATTGTCCACAAAAATTTGGTCTTTTTTTCTACTTCCCGGGCAAACCACTATTCCAACTTCTGGATGGAGATATTTAGTACCATTTTTCATATATGAACTGCAAAAATCGGGCAACGTTGTTTCTCGGAAAAGTGTAATATTTTTGCTACCAAACATGGTCTTCCAATTCTCCATACCCAGTTTTCCAAGGAACGAAATTTTTTTTTGGGTAATTTCCTTCTATAAAACTATAAAAATTAGAGAATAATGGAAATAATGTTACAAATTTATAATTATTAATAAAAACATATCAATTGAAGATAAAAATAAAGAACACCATAATCTGTTTTTTTTAAAAGAGAATAGATATTCACAACCATGCCTATACAGAAATACTTATTATTATTGTTATGGCTCTTCAATGTCTTGTTTTGTCTCATAGTTTTTTATTTTTTTTATTTTTTATAAAACTAGCTACGGACCTTTGTCTAGCGGTTTATTATTAATATGATATTATTATGTTCTTTATTGTGTTCCATCGTGCTTCCTCCTTCATTTCAAATAAGTTAAATTTTAATACAAAATAAAGTGATAATATGCATGGTCCATATTAACTGTATTGGATATACAAATCAAATTTTTGTTTTATTCTGGACCGAAACTCATGTTCAGGCCCAACAACTCGTTACACATGACTTGAATATAGACCTAGGTGAAACGAGTATTTGCGCGGAAGACACCTCCTGATGTGAAGAAGATCTTAGAATCCGACATGAAATTTGGATTTTGAGATTAAATGTATATGTAAGGGATTTCAAGAAACCACATAATTAGATCTCTTGTTTCAAATAACTAGACAAGGGAGCCCTTATTTTGGCCAACCCCGTGTAATATAAAGACATGCCTCATTACTTAGGTATACACTTTTATTTCCGATACCTTAATTCTTCTTACACCCTGCCTGACTAGTTATTTTTTTATGCACATTTAAGTTATTTCTTTTCCTCCTGAAGTTTTAAAAATGGGAAAATTGACCCATCTCAAGAAACAGCTCTTCAAAAATTATGTTTCCAAAAAAAAAAAAAATTCAAAAATTAATAAAAAAAAAATACAAATTAGGGGTAGGGTCATCAATATCTCAACAACCCTGCTTTATTTGCCTCCCAATTTTCGCCTGAAATTTGCACGTTTCCTGTTTGATGAAGGTGACGGTGAAGTTTTGTGGCCACGATCCAGTTGGCGATTGTTGTAGTTTTGTGGATTGACGTAGCACAACTTGTCTCTTTCTTCTCCTAAAATAGTATTTTGAAATCACAATCACTCAAGTTGAGTACTTCTTTCGTTTCATTTAATCACTCGCTTGCTGCGTTACAAACCGTCCCTGTCTCTTTGCTATACTAATAGTGGCATCCAGGTGTACATGAGTTGCATCTGAGCCAACCTTCTATCAGGATATTTGGTATTTGTGGAGTATATTTTTTTCTTATAGGAACTTCAAAGTAGTTGGACTGAAAAATAATCAAAAAATTGAATCAAATCATAAATCAGATTGAACTGTACTTAAAATAGTCGGCTTTTAACCGAATCAGTTTTTAAAGAATCAATTCATGAACCGAACCGATTTTTAGAACCAGTTTAAGAACTGAACCGTTTCTGAACCAAACCGAATCGAACCAAATTCATTTTTATAGCTTTATTTTTTAAATTTTTTAAATTTTTTATTTTCAAAATTGGATCGACCCGAACCGATTCTGAACCGAACCGAACCGTTTCCAACTGAACCGAATCACTTCCGAACTGAATCAGTTTTGAACCAAACTGAACCATTTTAGAAGAGAACCATTTAAATCAATTTGGTTCGATTTTTCAAAAAATTCGATTCGATTCGATTCGACCCATGCACATCTCTAATTGGATGTTTCAATCGTACTTCTCTTCTTCATTACAATCTTTTTCCAATATTTCTATATTCCCCCCGTTTTTCTATGACCACACTGATACGCATGACTTTACTGAACTGGGCCAACCAGAGGAGGAGACTGATCAAGTGGTTGTTGGGCTAGAGCAACATCAGTTAAGTCATCAATCATATCAGTCCCAAGACCAGGTGGACTAAGAGGATCAAATTCCAGCCCAAGTGGATGAGTGATTTTTATCATATAAGCAGTGTGCGTGAGATGAGAGCAATGCCTTATTAGGCTGTTAGGTGGTTATGCTTTTGCGTATTTGTTTCTGTTATGAGATTCTGAGGTGTTGCTTTAGCTTGCCTTTTAGTTACTGATAGTAACTTTGCTGTATAAAGACCCGATTTTACAATGAATGAGCAAGGAATATTTTGGCTAACTATGTGTTAGAGGAGGTACTCTCCTTCGAAGAGAGAAATTGCTACTATTCCCGTATCAATTGGTGCTTTCATTAAGTCCTTTTCACCATGCTTTCATCCTTGATCTCACCCTCCATTACTCCTACCTTCATCAACGACGCTCACCAGGAATTAGTTCAATCTATTTTTGCGGAGATGAAATCTAGTTTTGCAGCAATGAACACCACATGCGAGAACGTGATACACATGCTCAAGAACTTGATCCATGAACGTAAAGAACAAGCTGCTATCAAAATTCAGAAGGCATTTCTCAAGTATTCGTTGAAGCTAACCATTCACCAATCTGAATCGATCGACCAGAACGAGTTGCCTCAGACAGAGGTGGAACACCCGATTGCTAAGTCGTTGAACAATCGAGAGATGTTTCATGAATTTGCGGATGGATCTCCTTTGGATCAAGTTGCTTGTGTTAATGTCGGTGCATATCCAGAGATCGAAGCCTCACTGATACTCTATGCGTCAGCGCTGTCTTCATTATCCTCTCCAGTCATTAACGATGTCATCAAGAAGCCCGTATTTGGAGGAGCTATTCCTCTACCAGAAACAATGACGTTTCGTACCTCAGGTATCTCCATCGTTGTTAATTTTCCATATACTCTTCTCTTTTGGGTGGGGTTTGACACTGATTCCATTGGTCCTCCGTGGCTCGATGGTGACCCTCCGGGGTTCGATATTCTTCACTTGAATGAACAACCTCGTGCCCTCGCATTGTTGATTGATTCATTCTTCCCTGAGTTGTGTGGCAATAGTGTGCGAATCAATATGGATGGGAATATTTGTGGTTTTTTTAATTTTGTGTGCATGATGTTCGATGAAAGGCGTGAACAACAACCTATGGTTCATGCCAGCTGGTATACAATCTCCTCTGTTACCATTAGCCCACAGTCATCTGCCATAGTTTATACAATTTCTCCAATTGGGGATGCTTTCCAAGTTCCTCTTCTTTCATATGTTGCCACTGATCCAACCCTGTCATCCCTCTGGTTTCCCTTCTTTTAACGGACTACACAACGTGACTCACAACAAATGATTGCACTGGCTGAATTAATTGAATTTAATGGATGGAAAGAGGACATTGTTGTATTCTTGGATGAAGATTATAGAATAAATGGAATATCTGCTTTAGATGATGAACTTGAAAAAAGAAGATTGAAAATGGCTCATAAACTACCTTTTAGTGTTCATTTTGATTTGGATGAGATCACTCACTTGCTTAATCAATCCAAACTATTTGGTCCTCATGTGCATGTTCTGCATGTCATCCGTGAAGTATCCCCATTTAACCACAAACAATTATGGAAAGAGAAGTTTGGCAAATTTGATTTCACGTTGATTTTTCTATTCCTACTCGATGTTGGAAATTCATCTATCAACCAAAGCCAATTTTCTTCAGAAAATTTTCACATGTGCAGAGCTATTTTAATTGGATGAAAAACTTCATTAGATGGATCATATGGGGTCAGAATGAATGAGCTTTTATTTTTTTCAGCCACTTAATTGCTCCTGCTTTACTCCTTTTCAAGCATGGCCAAGATGGTGTTGTACTTCATGCTGTCTCGATGGGTTTAAAAATGGCCATTGTCAAGGCAGGTGTGATGGGAGGATCATATGCAAATACCCATATTAAATTGCCTTACTCTCTGCAAGCTTTGGGAATAGATATAATTATTTGTTTTGGAATTAGGTTGGGACATAAAAGGGTGCAAGTTGGCTCTTCAAATAGCATAGTATCTGCAAAGGATAATTTTAATGTCATTATATTGTTCCTTGGATTTATTTTCCCTGTTGGTCGTATAATGTTTCCAGATGGAGCAGGGCAATATATTAAAAAACTTAGTCAATACATTTCAATAAATGGAGGTATTATGAGGACTGCTCTTGACATGGGTTGCGGGGTTGCTAGTTTTGGAGGATATTTTCCATCTCAAAATATTTTAACAATATATTTTGCTCCAAGAGATTCACATAAATCACATATACAATTTTCTTTGGAAGGAGGAATATCAGATTTAGTTGCTTGGTTGGCACTCGTAGACTTCTGTTCCCTGCATTTGGATTTGGCTTAGCTCATTGTTCTTGGTGTTTGATCCCTTTTCCAGCCTATATTGCAACTTATTTCCTTGAAGTGGGTAGATTACTTCTCCCTGGTGGATATTTAGTCATCTCTGGCCTTCCTGTTCAGTGGCCTAAACAAGATAAAGAATGGTCCGATCTCCAGGCTGTGGAAAGAGCCTTGTTTTATGAACTGTTTGTTGTAGATGGTAATACTGTGATTTGGAAGAATGGGATGATTCCCAAGTAGCCAGAGAGGACAAGAGTTTGTAATGGCATTGAGATCATAATTAATCCTTCTCTTATGTTTCTTGATGAAACAACTTCTGGTTTGGATTCTACAACAGCCCTGAGGAAAGTTCAGATGCTACATGATATAGCAGCGACTGATAAAAGCGTAGTGACAACAATCCATCATCCATCAAGCAGAATCTTCCATAAATTTGATAAGTTGATCCTTCTAGGAAGAAGGAGCTTGCTTTGCTTTGGAAAAGCATCTGAAGCAATGGACTACTTCCAATTTATTGGGTGCACACCTCTTAGTGCCATGAATCGAACAAAGTTTTTATTATACTTGGCAAATGGCAACATAAATGATGCTTCTGTTCCATCAGAGTTAAAGGTTAAAATGCAAGTGGGAAATGCAGAAGGTGAAACACGGAATGGGAAACCATCAATTGCAATTGTACAAGAGTATTTGGTAGAGGCATATGAGACTAGAGTTGCAGAAATAGAGAAGAAAATTTTTGAACCATTGTTTGGTTTAGGAGATACTCTCATAGAAGTCCTTGGATTTTTTTTGGTTTCAAATAGCATCTAGGGGTCAAGAGTCTCTGGGAAGGTTTGTATCTAGAAGATTCTTCTTGGAAATCATTGGAGGAACTTTTAGGCTCTCAACCGGAATTCCACCTTGAGGACAAGGTGTTTCTCAAAGAGAAAGGGATGATACACATGGCTTTACTGAACTGGGCCAACCAGAGGAGGAGACTGATCAAGTGGTTATTGGGCTGAAGCAACATCAGTTAAGTCATCATATCAGTCCCAAGACCAGGTGGACTAAGAGGAATAGATCCCAACCCAAGTGGATGAGTTATTTTTATCATATAAGCAGTGTGCGTGTGAGAGCAATGCCTTATTAGGCTGTTAGGTGGTTATGCTTTTGTGTATTTGTTTCTGTTATTAGAATTTGTTATGAGATTATGAGGTGTTGCTTTAGCTTGCCTTTTAGTTACTGATAGTAACTTTGCTGTATAGAGACCCGATTTTACAATGAATGAGCAAGGAATATTTTGGCTAACCATGTGTTAAAGGAGGTACTCTCCCTCGAAGAGAGAAATTGCTACTGTTCCCGTATCACACACCTTCTATAATTTTGAGTGAGAGATATTAATCCATATTCACGGGCTTGGCTTTGCTGCGAGCTCATTTATTATGAGCCTCGAGTACGAGCTCCTTTTTCAATAAAAGAAAAAAAAAAGTTGGGGGGAGATTTAGAAAGAAGAAAAGGGTATAAATGAAAAGAAAATTTCTTTTGATGATAAATGACCATCAAATTTTAATGTACTCCTGGAGCACGTTAAAAAAATCCCTTTGCTGCATGGTAAAGTTCATTCACAGTGGAGTGCTATTATACGTGTTTGTGCCAAAGTTAAGGAGATTACAAATCATATATGCGAACAATTGGAGAGAACCAACAAAATCTTAGCTGGATCCATTCCGTTAATGTTATCCTTTTACTTAAATTTGTATATTATATTTAACAGTTATTCTTAATTAAAAAGAGAGATAGAAAACGAGAGTTATTCTTCGGTTTTTTTTTTTTTTTAAAATAAGAAGTATTAGTGAAAGGATGGTGTAAAAAAAGAAAAAAAACTAAATGAGTAACATTTTTTTGTGCTAAATCGGTAATATTTATTATATAGGGTATATTATTCTTACACGCATATAAGAATAAGAAAATTTATGTTAAATCCTAATCATTAATTTGCTAGGATTTAATTGCTCCCACAGTAGTCCAACATATAATAAATTAGAGTCATTATATATTAATAAAATTAATGATTAAGAACATAACTTACACTAATTGAAAATGACCCTAAACTTACACGAATAGATGAAATTTATTTTATATTTTCAATAGTTTAAATGGTCATGGAGTAAGGGCATAATTATCTATTTATCGATAATCTTCTCCTTATTTTTTTAATTTATGATATATATATATATATATATATATATATATATATATATATAGGTAGGATCCTTTGACACCTCATCTGAGAGCCATTAAATCAAACAAGAGCTTTTCTCACGTTACATGAGATAGCATTGTCTTATGTAGAGACATAATTAGGTGGGTCCCACAGTTAAAAGAAAAGAAAAGAAAAATGTTGATTCGAATTTCGATGTGTGTATAACATGAGATAAGATTTCTAATGTAACCTGAGAAAAACATTTATATATATATATATATATATATATATATATATATATATATATATATATATGTATAGGGATAAGATCTTTTAATACCGGTGTCAAGTTAAAATGTTTGAAACCAAATCATAACTGTTAATTTTCGTAAATCTAACGATTATAATATATTGGGTCACACTTATTTATTAATTATTAATTCCTAATCAATTATAACCATTAGATTAGCATAAATCATCAGTTAAAATTTGGTATCAAATTTTTTAATTTGATACCGATATTAAAGGATCTGTCCATATATATATAAATATATATAAGGGGTAAAATCCTTTAACACCTCATCTGAGAGCCATTAGATCAAAAAAGATCAATGATGTTACATGCTTACAAAACAAAGTCGTTGATCTTTTGTAATCTAATGACTCTCACATGAGGTATCAAACTTTAAATTTGACAATGATATCAAAGGATCTTACCCCTATATATATATATATATATATATATATATATATATATATGTAGGATCCTTTGACACTGGTGTTAAATTTGAAGTTTGACACCTCATCTGAGACCCGATAGATCAAAAAAGATCAATTGTGTCACATGCTTAGAAATCAAAGTCATTGATAAATTTAAATATCAACGACTCTGATTTCCAAGCATGTGACACCAGTAATTTTTTTTTATCTAACAGCTCTCAGACGAGGTGTCAAAAGATCCTACCTCATATATATATATATATATATATATATATATATATATATATATATATTTGCTGAAATCTATATATATTTATCAATTTATTCTATACTTTATGTTTTCCCCTAAAATTAATTCTTGTTTTTTTAAGTTTACATCTCTTTTAATCATAAATTTATTATTATTATTTTGTTTTTGACTTCTTATTCTTCCCATTTATATTTTACCTGATTTCAAATAGAAATTTAAGTGTAAATTTTGAACAAATTAAAAATAATACATATTTTATCACATATATTAATTACAATAAATAAATATATTGCTAAAATACTCACTAAATATTAATTTGTACAAAAATTATATTTTTTAATTTTAAAATAATACTATCAAAGTATTTTTTTTATAAACATTTTTTAATGCACAAGTGTGGGGAATTTGTTGGTATCATTATTAAAAGCTTAAGGGGGGTGTATTGGATTAGGATTTTAAAAGACTTTTTTGAGATAAAAAATCCTACAATTTAAAATGACATTTTAGAATTGGAGAGATTTTATAGACTTTTTTAAAAGACATTTTTTACAATCAAGATTTCATAGGATTGCATTTTAAAGGATTTTAATAGAATTCATAAGATTTGAAAGGACAATATAGATTTATAAGATTTTAAAAAATCATATGAATTTTTAATAAACATTCAAACTTACAAAAGTCAATACAAAAGGGAAATGTTATACTTATAATATATTTTTGTTTACAAGATTTTACAACCATATCTCAACCGTTGATTTCTGTCAATCAACAGTTATCATTCATTGCAAATTAAATATTAATTAATACGTTTGATTTGCGAAAATAATAACCTTTTATTGACGGAAATCAACGGTTAAGATATGGTTGTAAAATGTTGTAGACAAAAATAGGTTGTAAGTATAATCTTCTCCATAAAAAAAATAACAATGAAATACAATGAAATTAATAAAAAAAGTAAAACCAAATATAATTTTCTAAATCAGTAAAACATAGGCAAACAAATTAATTTCATGATTTTTAATAAATTAATTATGCATTTATTATAGTTTTGGAAATAATTACAATTTATTGCACAATATGACGTCCAATTTGGGCGTCACTAAAGATGCCTAAATTAGACGTCAGTCAAGAGGCAATCACGCCTAAATTTAGGCGTCACTTATCAGGTGTTAACACGTGTCATATTTTTTTTTTCAAAAAAATAATAATTTAATCATAAAACTTCCGATGGCCATAACTTTTGACTCGGGTATCCAAATCAGGTAATTCTTTTTTTGATTTCACATATCTTTTCGAGATCTACGCAATGACATCTAATTTGGTATATTTTATTTCTCACAAAAATAATTTAAATTTAAGTCAGGTAATCCTTCTTCCTTAGAGATTTAGAATATTTATTTAATTATTTCCTTTATTAATACAGAATTTTCAATTTGATTTTTGATTTTAAATCACAAATCAAATATTTATTTTATTTTTAATATTAATAATAATTGTTATTTTTTTAATTTAAATCACATATCAAATCTCGATTTATTTTTTATATTAAATCACAAACACATAACCGAGAGGCTTATGAGTTTAAAAATGTGACACGTGTCAACACCTGACACGTCACCAATGACGTCTAAATTGGGTTTCAATCACGAGGCAATCATGCCTAATTTAGGTAATTTTATTTTTGAAAATCATTCATAAGCCATAATTAATTTCAGACCACAAATAATAACCCAGAAGCTTATATCATTAATTATTAATTTCAAAAAAAATATCCTTCTTCCTTAAAGATTTAGAATATTTATTTATTATTTCCTTTATTAATACATATTTTTCAAATTGATTTTTGAGTTTAAATCACAAATCAAATCTTTATTTTGTTTTCCTTATTAATAATAATTGTTATTTTTTAATTTAAATCACACATCAAATCTTGATTTATTTTTATATTAAATCACAAACCAGAACTCAGAGGCTTCTGAGTTTAAAAATATGACATGTGTCAACACTTGACACGTCACCAACGACGTCTAAATTGAGTTTCAATCAATTGGCAATAACGCCTAATTTAGGTAATTTTATTTTTGAAAAACATTCATAAACCATAATTAATTTCAGACCACAAATAATAACCCAGAAGTTTATAGCATTAATCATTAATTTCAAAAATAATATCTTTCTTCCTTAGTGATTTAGAATATTTATTTAATTATTTTCTTTATTTCTACAGATTTTTCAAATTGATTTTTTAGTTTAAATCACAAATCAAATCTTTATTTTGTTTTCCTTATTAATAATAATTTTTATTTTTATTATAATTTAAATCACAAACCAAATTTTTGTTATAATAAAAAAATTATTATAAAAAAAATTAAATCACAAATCAAAATTTTATTTATTTTTTTATATTAAATCACAAATGCAGAACTCAGAGGCTTATGGGTTTAACCGCTCTTATAATACCATTCTTGCAAATTTAAATTGTGTTTGTGAGAAATAAAATATGTCAAATGAGATGTCATTGCGTAGATCTCGAAAATTTATGTGGAATCAAAAAAAGAATTACCTGATTTGGATACCCGAGTCAAAAGTTATGGCGTTCAGAAGTTTTATGATCAAATTTTTTTTTTTTTTGAAAAAAAATATGACACGTGTCAACACCTGATGAGTGACGCCTAAATTAGGCGTGATTGCCTCTTGAGTGACGCCCAATTTAGGCGTCTTTAGTGACGCCGAAATATCGCGTCATATTGTGCAATAAATATGTAATTATTTCCAAAACTGTAATAAATGCGTAATTAATTTATTAAAAAACATTAAATCAATTTTTTGCCGTAAAACATGATGGGAAGGATATACTTACCACAAAAAAGTTTACAATCTTTACAACTAACTTAATCACCATTGATTTCTGTTAATCTAACGGTTATAATTTATTGGAAATTATTAGGTCGTATTTATTAATTCCCATTAAATTATAACCGTTAGATTGAAGAAAATCAAGGGTGATTAGGTTGGTTGTAAAGGTGGTAACATTTTTTGGTGGTAACTATATCCTGCCCCAAACATTAATATAATTTTTAACAAACATTCAAAATTACTAAACAACAGCTTTTCACATATCTAATGGGTTAAAAATCATCTTCTTCATTTGGTATCAAAACTATGGATATATGATTATAAGACCCAATTTTTTTAATTATAAAAATAATTCTAAATTTGCATATAGAACCTAAAGTTCATGATAAAATTTCGTTTGAAATTTTTTGCAATTGATCTTGAAAACCTTAGGGTTTTGGAATTTTCTAACTATATATCTTATGCATATTTTCATTGAATATTAAGAAAATTTTGAATCTGAAATTTTGGGTTTAATTACATGAAAGTTTAGAAAAAATTTCAATTTTTTTTCAATCGATACATTGAAACCTTAAATTGCTTTGGGACTTTTGAGAAACTAGCTTTTAGTTATCTATTGACACAAAAATTGTTTGAACTCGTTTTCTATAGTGAAGGAATTTCGTTCACGAATGTATTGCTATGAAATATAGGGTTCATATTATGAAAGTTTCAATCTTTCTTTAAAGGGAAAAATATTTCTGCAGTTAATGCAGATAAGTTATCTGCATTTATTCCCAAAACGACGTCGTTTTGGTATTGAAATCTCAAAAAATTATAAATATAAAGACTATTATAACCCTAAAAATTTCCCAAAACGATGTCGTGTTGACTTACTGTAGATAAGTTATATGCAGTAACTGCAGAAAAAGCGAACTCTTCTTTAAATTGATATTGTTTCATTGATGTAAAAAAAAATAATACGAAAGTTTCCCTGTTATTCTTTCACTGTTTTATGTTATTTTTAATACAAAAAGCACATTTTTGTGCTAAGAAAAACCGCGACCCATAGCTTGAAAAATCACTTTTTAAACTTCCAAAATTTCTCAAAAATGGCTCAAAAATATGTTATTTTTGAGATAGATTATATTAAAATCTCGTTGGTTTGTTGTTTCTGGGTTATTTTGTGATAAAAATCGTTCAAAAACATGCTATTTTTTTTAGTTTTGACGAAGCTCCTATGGCGGAACCCAATTTTGAGTAGTCAACCTACCAAAGGAAGAAGAAAACACTGCAATAGAAGAATCTCAAGAAATCCTAGGAGTTGGGGTGAGATTGTGAGATAGGCATCTTATTTATATTTCTCACTAAAAAGTCTTACAAAATCTACACCGATAAAAAATTCATTAAAATTATCGGATTTATTAATATCACGACATTGTGATTCCATTGTTTAAAATCTCAAACGAATACCAATGAAATTTTTGTCCTAAAATAATTCATTAAAATATTTTAAAATCGTAATCGAATGCCCCTTTAATAAACAGACGATATTGTAAGGTATGGAAAAGCGTGCCTTAATAAAAGGTGGCAAGGTGCACATTGCTGTTTTTGTTGTTGATATTTTTAGGAAGGAGCAACACTGACAGATAGACTTTGTGAGTTTTTAGCTTATTTATATCCCTCACGGGAATTATCTGAAGGAAGTAATTAACCCCTCACAACTCTTCCTTTCTCCGATTCTCATTTCCATTTCGTTATCTGGGTGGGGAAGGAGGGGAATAGACGTCGTCGTTTGGCGTGGGAGGTGGTGGTGTCGTCGTTGAGAAAAAAGAGTTCGACCTGAACCGCTTATTGCATTTTGTTTGTTTGTTTGGTTAAGGTTCCGGAGGAAGCGGTTTTCCATCTTCTTATCCTCTTCGGCATTTTTTTTTCTCTCTCTCTCTTAATACAGAGTGGAACGCTTCAAAGCTCAAACAAGGTAAACTAATCGATCTTCATTCCTTCCATTACGTGGTTCTTAATTTGTTCGAGTAAATTCATTTAAATCTTGATGAAGATTTTTATTAAGATTTGTTCCCCGCACCGCCATGTTTTTTTTTTTTTTAATTCTAGATGCGAATTTTAATTCACTCCCATATACAGATCAGATAGATCCTCTGGCCTTTGTAAAATTTTAATTTGTTTCATAAGAAATCTTGATTGTTTAAAACATTAGTTAATGAAATCCCCCAAGTAGTTATTGGAAGTATGACCGGAAGGATGCTGTTGTCGTATAATCTGGCATGGCAAATTGTCAATGAAAATGAACCATCTCATGTTATTTAGATTGCAGGAAAGGTTATGTAATGAGTTTGATAATTTAAGACCTTGCAATCCGCAATCAAAATCGACCATAATGAGATATTTACGGGGCTTTAATAAGGTGTATTTGAGCATGGTAGATCTAAGATTCTCATGTTTAATATGAAATTTTAGATGCTCACATTAGAGGTATAAATTTATTGAAGTTTCTGGCATTTTTTTTTTCTTCTTGCTGAATAGTTTCTGGGATAGTTGATTGATATAATATCTCTCTAAAACTAATGTCCGAGAGCCTTCGTTCTTAACAATTTAGATATGTGTGATGTGATTTTTATTTTATTTTATTATACTTACCAAAAAAATTAATACCACCAGGAAAAAAAAGAACTAAATGTAGAGATTTTTTTGGGAAATGATAAGTCATCCCATTTCAAGGACCTTTTTGTATTAATCGTGTTACTTCAAACTTTAAAAATATCATTTTTTTAAAAAAATTGTATGAAGTTACAATTTGTTAGATCAATTTAAATATATGAATTTTAGTATAAAATTATCTCCAGTTACCTAAAACGACATTGATTTTAAATTAAAATTGTAGGAGATAAGTCATCTCTAATTATTGGAGTGACATTGACATTAAATCTATAATAAAAATATACATAGAACGAAGATCTTTTAATTTCGGTGTAAGATTAAAAAATCTTATGTTAAAAAATTTATTCACAATATTTTTTCTTGATATTGTATCAAAATAATTTTATAATTTAAAAGTTGACAACTAAGAGAGAGTATTAAATTCTATCCAAATATGCGCGGAACAGCTTATCTTAATCTTATAATAAATGAAAATAACCGAAAAATGAGATTGAATCGAATGCTTGGCATTTTTTCTTTGAATTTAATTTGGAAATTCAATAATGTTTATAGATATGGATAGAGCCATTGCCAAAAGTAGAAAAATTAAGATCCCTATCTTTTTAATAGGCCCTTTTATATGATAAGTATTCTGCCAAGAACCAGGTTTTTGATCATTAGACGACTGGATTTTATATTTGTTTATGCAGCAGCGAACCATAAACTGAAGGCTACTATGGACGGCAATTGTTGTAAATCTCTCCAGAATGACAAGAAATTCACTCTGGCACCACCTCCTTTGCCACGTTCTGCAGCAACAGTTTATCCCTGCAAGCGTTTGGTGACGAACTATTCAGCACCAAGCGGGCACAGCAGCTATGTCTTTTCAGCAACAAGAGATTTGTGGGAGCGTCTTTTTTATGAAGGTTATAAAGCAGATGTTCGCATTAATACTGTTAACGGTGGCATTGTTTATGCTCATTCTAACATTCTTGTAAGTTGTCTTATTCCACTTGATTTTGTATAATAGTATTCTTTATATTTGGTATGCACATGTATTACTGGTGAGCTACATCAAAATTACATAATTAGAATATGTCTGCAATGGACTGCGTCCTACTTATTTGAACGAATTAGTAGTAGACTGTTACGATTCCATTTGCAAGGTATGGGACTTGGAGTCCCACATTGGTTGTATGGGCAACTAATGTGAGATTTATAAGGCCTTGGGCACTCCCATCCTTTGAGCTAGCTTTTGGGGTGGTCCACCTCAAGGTTCTTATCAAATGGTATCAAAGCCTTCCACTATGCCTCCCGGTTGCAATCGAGCAGCGCGGGTGGTGACGCCGGCATTGCAGTGTTCGCCCGGGGCTAGTATCAGACTAGCGCAAAACCAGCCCGTGTGGGCGCCGATATTACGATCCTATTTGCAAGGTATGGGACTTGGAGTCCCACATTAGTTGTATGGGCAACTAATGTGGGGTTTATAAGACTTTGGACACTCCCACCCTTTGAGCTAGCTTTTGGGGTGGTACACCTCAAGGTTCTTATCATAGACCCAAGATTTTCATAGGTTCAGCGGCCATAAATAAGCTACTAGTTAGTTTTTTAGGCTGAACATGTCACTGCCTTAAGAGGTGATTGATATACAATATAAATGGATCTTTAGGTTATCTTGAAACCATTTTTTGTAATACCGCTCACTTCATACTATATGAACAGGCCATGGCTTCTCCCGTAATGAGAGGCATGCTGGAACAAGCAAATCGTCATCATCATCGATGGCGATCAATCTCAATCTTTGGTGTTCCACATGATGCAGTTCGAGTGTTTATTCGTTTCTTGTACTCTTCCTGGTACGTTTGATCCCTCTACTAAACTTAAAAATTATCAGAATGTTTGTGTATAAATCATTAACATCACCCATGCTATCGGGTAAGGCTTGATGATATTATCTTGAATTTTGTTTGCTCAAATTAGATGCATTTGCTTGATTGATCTTGTCAAGTCCTTCCATTCACTTTCTATAGTAAAATGTTAAGCAACATCAATTGGTAATGGAGATAGGGTCTATACTTTAAGATTTTACTGCCAATAACTCATCCTAGTCCTACTTAATTTATATTGATATATAAATGTGTTGAAATGTTTTGTGCCTTTGTTTCATAGTTTTGAGAAAGAAGAAATGGAGGAATTCATCCTGCATTTGTTGGTATTGTCACATGTATTCGTGGTCCCTCACTTGAAGCGTGAATGTGAACGGAAACTAGAATTGGGTTTACTCACTACAGATAATGTAGTTGATGTATTTCAACTTGCATTACTATGTGATGCCCCACGGCTCAGCCTCATTTGCCACCGAATGATTCTAAAAAACTTTAAAGCTGTTTCGGAGTCAGAAGGATGGAAAACAATGAAGCAGAGCCACCCTGTTCTAGAAAAGGAAGTTCTGGAGTCAGTGATTGAAGAAGAAAATGTAAGGCTGTCTTTTTCTCCTCTTTGCTTTGTTTTGTTTTTTTTAATCTTACACACAGGAAACTTGATTAGTCCATGGTCTAATTGACTTTGAATGAACTGATTATTCAGAGTAAAAATGAGAGGATCAGAAAAATCAATGAAAGAAAGATATATCTGCAATTATACGAAGCAATGGAAGCTCTTGTTCACATATGTAGAGATGGTTGTCGAACTATTGGTCCTTACGATAAAGACTTCAAAGCAAACCAACCGTGTAGGTATGTAGCATGCAAGGGGCTAGAATTACTTGTCCGTCATTTTGCTGGGTGCAAGTTGAGAGTCCCAGGAGGTTGTGTTCTTTGCAAGAGGATGTGGCAATTGTTGGAGCTACACTCCCGATTATGTGCTGATCCAGATAACTGCAGAGTTCCTTTGTGCGGGTAATAATATATTATGAGTTGTTTAACTAAGATTTTACTTCATGCTGCTCAATCATTCACCTGAATTGTAACAAATCCTGTCATTTCAGGAACTTTAAGCAGCGAATATCAAAACAAAGCAAGAAAGAGGAAATTAGGTGGAAAATATTGGTTGAGAAGATCTTGAGAACAAGAGGCACTGGGATAGCACCGTGCTTTCCACCACAATAACCTATGGATTTGTGGTGTGGATGTAGAATTATAGATCGCAGCACTTTCTTCTAACATTTATTTTCTCTTTTTCCAGGTGTTGATTTATTTATTTTCTTATTCTTTCGGCAACTAAATGGTTAAGATGGTCATTCAAAAAATTTAAACATTAATTTATTTATTAATTTTTAAAATTGACATTAGTTTAGTTATTTGATGTAAATATCAATTGGTACCTAAATTAATGTTTAAAATTTTTTAGGAATCAACTTCATATTCAGTATTTTTGAAAGGCGAATTTAAATATTAACCTTTTTCTTAAAACACTTTTTGCCTACTTCTTGGAAGCTGGTATTCATTCAAAAAAGTGTTGCAGCAATGAGGTAGCAGAATGTATTACTATTAAAGTATTAATTACTATATTAAATTATGGGTTTAACATTTTTTATTTTATAGGAGATAAATTTATTATATATATATAAATAATATATAAATAAATATAAATATGTGGGATTCATATGAATTTATATGAGGAGAAAGAAGAAAAAAAAGTGAAAAATTTAAATAACCATTTATGTGTGCCTTTTTTTTTTGGAAACAAAAGGAAAGTAAAAGACAAAACAGCAAATCTAAAACACACTAGGCACAAGCCTAGGCCAATGAACTCCCATTTGTGTGTGCCTTTGAATCAGTTATTCCTTACGCTTTTTTTTCACTCAAGTCCTTACTTATCAATAGTTTTTAATTATTATGAATATTATACCCTTCTTATAAAGATGTACCTAATCGATCCAAATCGATTTAAACTGCGGTGACCGAATCAAAAGATCGATAACTGAATAAATCGAAAACAGAAAAAAAAAAATCGTCAATTTTAATTGGATTGGATCAATTTTTGGATTAGTTGATGAAAATCGATTCAATATATTAATTTTTCTATACCTACTTGGATCTTTCCCAATAATAGTCCAAAAATTTCTAAACCCAATATCCATTAATCCATCATCTAAATCCAAGAAAAAACATAGTCACATCTCATCAACAAAATTTCATCTGTGCAAAGCTTCATATCTCATTGCCCAAAAAAAAAAACTATATTATCTTTTACTGATGCTTTTATATTTCAATTTTTTTTTTTACAAAGTCACTATATACAAAAGATGTTATTTGCACAATAATCATGAAACAAATTTTAAGATTTTCAAAAAACTAAAAATCTATCCAATCCAAACTGAAAAAAATTGGATTGGATCGGATTTGAAAAAAAATACAAACCGAATGGTCATTACATGATCAAATCAAAGGAATTGGATCGGATGATTTTTGCATCCAAAACCGATCCAATCCAGACCGCCAACACCCCTATTAGTTCTCTTGTATCATCTCTTTTTCCCCTTAAGCTTTGCAATGGTGTTTAACATACAAAATTTCTGGGTGAAAACCAGCGTGTAGCGGGGTTTGTTGCAAAACTACTCGTGTTATCTTGTTACCACAAATTAACATCCCACAATGTTAATGACTTATCGGCAGCATATGAAGAATTTGATGACCATACTTTGACCAACAAATACTGGTTATTGGAGAAGAACTTTCATCATTGCGAAGCACTTTAACAATGCCACTGGTTTCAAAATCCCAAATAACACAACTTCCATCATTGCACCCCCAACTGGTTCAATTGAGCAAATCAAGATCAAAAGTTAGAACAATTGAGCAACTTCAATAAATATTTAGTAGTTCAGCACTTGCTATAAGATTTACCCAACCCAAATTTGAAAAATTAAAATGAATTACTACATAAACAAAAAGAAATTCATTAATAGGGTTTGTTTGAGTCAGGGGTTTAAACTCTGCCTCAAGCAAATTTTTAAAAAATCTTTAGAGGTCAGGTGATGTGCCTCCTTCCTCGAATGGAGGATTAGTCTCATCCTTCCTCCGGTAGCAAAGTTCAATGCACCCGCTTTCCAATGAGCGGCTAGCTTACAGGACCGAACCCCGAGAGCAAAGTGATCAAATGAGGTTGAATGAGGATACCTCCAGATTATAAAAAAAAATAAAAATTCACTAATAATAATTGCTATTGAATCTAATCTCAAAAGCAAAAAACAAAAATTGCCTGAATAAAATAAGAAAAAATTATTCTCATGTTAAACCAGGTATGTTTTCATTTCAACACATCTTTTGATAATCGTACAATTTTTTTCTTTTTCTTTTATTTTTTCTTTTTTAGATGGTGGGCTCTGTTACTATATGTTTATGACATAAAATTCCTTCTTTTATGCAACATGAAATTAGATAAATCCAATAAAATATATTGAGAATGGTTTCTCAAAATACTTAAAACTTAGGATGTTTTTCAAAACTGCTAAATGAAATATAAAATAGAACAAACAAAGGATTTTGTTAGTACATAATCGAAGTGGATGCTTTAATTAAAGGGTTTTATTTTTCTTATGTTGCATGAGACAAGTTGTCTCATGCAACCCACAAAAAATGGGTGGGACCCACTAAAAAGGAAGAAAGAGAAAATAAAGAAGCGGGTCCCACTCATTTTTTGTGTGTTGCATGAGACAACTTGTCTCATAAAATAAAACCCTTAATTAAAACATGAACTTCATAAAAGTTGCTCCATCGTAAAGGGAAAAAGGTTGACACGAGAACCAGATCGGAGAAGGTTCAGGAAGAGTTTGATACATTAGAAACTCTTGCAATCATAAAGGGTTGACAGCTGTCCTATCCACATAAACCAGATGCTCAAAGTAACAAATTAGCTGCTAGCTCTTACCTGACACTCATAATTTTGTTTGGGCCTTTGAAGTTGAATCATTCATACCATGTTTTTTCCGGTACATGCAGCAATTACATATGGCAATTTAACCATCAAACATACATTGAGAAGGACTTGCATAGAAAGTTAACTTATTTTTTTTAGAGTAAATATTCTTTTGGTTATCAACAAAAAATATGGAACTTGTTTTAATTTTTTAGAAAAAAAAGTATTTATATTAGTTTTTTTTAGGGATTAATGTGGATTTTTTTTTGAATTTTTGGGGGATAACAATTTCAAAGAATTTGAATTTTAGAAAAATCACAAGTTGACTTTTTTTTTAAAGTATTAAAATGGGTTCCATTTTTTTGTTGAGAACCCAAAAAAGTATTTACTCTTATTTTTTAATATGAAGTTTAGAGATTAACAATGAAATGAATTGAACAGCAAAGTCAGAGGCAAACATACCCATTACTGCCTCGTAAAATTTCTCCAGTATTAAGGTGAAGTCAACATTAAGATGAATTAGTGAGTCATTTGATACAAAGTAGTTGAAGTATATTTTTTTTTTGTAAGAATGGTAAAATTGTCATATTAATAAAAAATTCTAAAACTGTTAAGGAGAGACTTAGATCGAAAAAAATACAGGGGTAAATGATAAAAAAAGAGAGCACTAGAAGGTAAGTGATTTAAAGGCAAGCCGCAATGGGGTATTTTGAATTTTTTTCAAAAAGAAAATATAGATTTATACACTTTTATATATGTGTAGGAGATAAATTTATTTCTTATACCATATGAAAATATTAAATCCTTATATCAATCATGTATGAATCTAGTTTATGCGTCCTAACTTAACGTCTAAAGTGGAGAATTATATACAATACTTTAGATTGAATATTTCCTAACTATTTATCTTTCAATAGTCTACAAAATATAAAATAGAAACCCTTATGTTTGGAATTGTAATTTTAGAGTTTAAGGTAAGAATTAAAAATAGTCTAAATTAGTTTTTTTTAATTCCATAAAATAATGAGTTTTCCTAATGATGATTTCGAGATGACATCATTCAAAATTTGGGAGAAATGTATTTTTGCAATTTTAATTTATTTGAGAAATATATTAATATTTATTATGACATTTTTTTCTTCAACCAAAAATATCATTGTTTTGGAATTAAATAAAGGTTTTAATGTTTTTACAGTGAATATAGATAAGTTATTTATGTTCGCTTCTAAAACGACGTCGTTTTGAGTTGAAAAATTAAAAAATTATAATAAAAAAGACTATTATAACCCTGAAAAAAATTATAATTACAAAAATATCTTGATTTTTGCCTCAAAACGATGTCGTTTTAAACTATAGATTTTCTACATTGACTATAGAAAGAGTGAACCTTAAATAAAATAACTCAATTTCCTATTATTACGAAACATGAAACCATTTAAAAAAAGAAAAGAAAGAATGACAATGACATTATAACGGCATTTAAGGGGGTGTTTGGTTCAAGTTTTTGGAGAAGATTACCGGTAATCCTTCTTTGGTAAATGTAATTACCACGTTTGGTAGAAGGAATAAATTACGATTCCCGGATATCAAAGGATTACCGGTAATTTGATTTATAAAGAAAAGTCACTATTCAGATTACCAAAAATAATATGGTAATTCGGAATACCAATCAGAATACCAAGTAAAGGGAAAGCACAACAATAAATTTTGAGACAAAAATACCCCAATACACATAAAAATCTAGACCCAATCTATCAATTACAAAAGTAAAAATAGTTTGGAGTTATTTTTGTAAAATAACCTCATATTCCAAGTCATATTTTGTTCTAAACCAAATATGGAATCAATAATTTTTACCCAATATTCCCGGTAATATTTTGGCGAACCAAACACATCTTTCGTAAGATTCTAAGTAAACTCAATTTCTACTGAATTCCCATTAATCATGATTCCCGGTTACCAAAAAATTTCTCTTGTACCAAACACACCTAAAGAAACCTTGGGACAAGGAAATCGGTGGTCCTATTATTTTAAGAAAGGCTGGCCAGATTTTGTTTGTCGCTTTAGTTCTCGTTAATTGGAGTCTTTGTCGTCGCGCTGGTACCCCTGTCGTACGTGTGTCCGATCAAAATATATAAGCTCATTTGTTGTTGCGGGTATCAACATGAAAAATTGTTGTTATTCATTTTTCATGTTGTATTTTTTTTTTCTCTTTTTCGTCGAAATAGTAGATTCTTGGTGCACATTGTACTTCTTCAACGACCCAGATGCATGCTTCAGGTATTATTAACATAGGCCACATGTGAGTTTTTAGGACGAATAACTATTAATTAAATTAATCCAATATTAATTCACCAAAAAAAAAAAAAACGTCCGATATTCTTTGTTAGGATATATGAACGTAATATGAGTGACTGACTGTATTTAGTTAACAAGAATTTATATGTGATTGTGAACCGTTAAAATAATAAAAAATTGTTTGAACTTAACTATTATTGCAAATTTGCAATGCATCCTTACTTTTGTTTTATTAGCAAAGTTATATTTATAATTTTTTTTTATAAACTACATTATATATTTCGGGTAGTACATATATGTACTACCCGTAATACATAGTATAATTTATGAAAATTAAAAAATAAAAAATTTATAAATATAACTTACCCCTTATTTTATAAGGGTATTTTTCGTATCGGTTTGATAAAATGTTCTAGAATGTGTCAGGATTAAATATACTAGAGAACATAAAAGAGAACAGACTAAGAATAGTGTATATAATGTTAATAAGAGCAATGGCTATCAGTGGCCAAAAAGGCTTCAGAAGGCAAATATATTGTGCGTTTTGCCAACGGAACATTTGATGATGAAACGAGGGTGATTTGCAGCTAGGTCTCTACAAAAGCAACCATAGCTGCTTTTATTCAATAAGTATCTATTCTTTCTCCCAGCTCTCTGTTAACTGTTTCATCTTTCTATTGAAAAACTAGCGTGCTGGCGTAAATCTCAAGTGCTAGGCATATATAAAGAGATTGCCGCAAAGCTGCTATTTATTATTAATAATTGCCAAAAAATACATATAAGAGCCTCTTAGGAAATATCAAAACATTCTACTATATGAAAATCCGTGGAGCTCTGATCTAATAAAACCTATTTTCCCTGTAGCATGTGTTGAAGAAACAAAATGATGCATCTCTTGCAACTCCTATTTCAAAATTCATTTATTCTTCATATGAAGTTGAATGAAGATGGCATGAATCTTTGCAGCCCATTTCTGTAAACCAGGAAATCCTTTCAATAGCGCATCCACTTTCTTTCCCTCAACATGCATTTAAAATGTTTTGATGTTCAATCTCATGGAATGCTGTCCTTCTTCAATATTACTAGTGGAATGGGATTAAGCCCAATGAATCTAATACCAAAATGCTGGCGATCAACTTAAATTTGCAAAAATATTCATTTACTTTCACTGTTATTCTGAGAGACTTTCGGTTTTTTTTTTTGTATTCACAATACTAGGGGGATGAACTTTCCTCATCTGAGCTTCTATCTTGTCTTGCATTGTACCTGTTGAGAACAGGTAATGATGCATTTGCAGCTATTCTGAAGGATCTTCCAGAGCCACCAACAATTCTATCATGCATCCTGCCCACTTCTTTGCACACTAGATCCAAAATATTCAGAAAGTCTCTTACAATCATGAAAATTCTGAAAGGGTGGGCTTCTTCCTTTGCTGCATCCCCATGAAAGTATTCCGTAGCTTCTTTCACAAGGAATAAGGCCTTTTTCTCCTCGGCCTTAATCCTTGTAATTTCATCTTCAGCATATTTCAAAAATAGCTTTGTTGATTTAAAGAAATTGCCTTGCATATCTGGCTTCTCATATTGCAAAACCAATAGAACTTTATCAAGCCCCGTTTCAAGCTTTGAAACATAGCTGCTTAAGACATCTGAGTCCATTCCTGCTGCTTTTTTTACATTATTAAGGTCCCTACCGAGCCCAGCCACAACATGCAATCCTTGCTTCTTAAATTCATCCTCATTAAATTTGGAATCCGTTTTGTTCTGAGCATTCTCATGTGCAGATTCAGCTCCTGCACCTTCTGATCTAATGATCTCTTGAACCACAAAGTGGAGTAATGTGGTCTTTCCATCTTTTCCCTTTATATCTACAAGTTTTAGGAGTGTGTCCAGTTTGAAAGCTTTAGCATCACCTCGATTAGTGCCAACATTCATTCTGTTTCCTGTCTGGAGAACAGCTTCGAGGAGTTTGAGGAATAGCCTGCTGTTCCTTAATTCCTCACTTGCTGCCTGACAAATATTAACAAATGATTTGTTAGTTTCTATCAAACGATCAAATATAACAAGGTATTGCTGTAAGTTAACCAGACCTCCAGGGCTTGAAAAGACTTCCTAAGGTAATTAACTTCTGCATCAAAGTTGGCTCTGTACAGCATAGCTTCCACTCTTTTGAAGGCAAAAGGGATATCAAGCACAGCTTTAAGAAATCTTTCTGCAGATCCAAGTTTTGAGAGGTCACCATCAAAGTTTTTAAGTTTTATCTCTTCCTCTTTAGTAGGAGCCATCTTTACTAAGGTTTCCAATAGCTCAGCACCCAAACCTTCAGGATTCCCTGTTTCATCCGAAAAAAATATGATAGGAACCAACAGTACAATTGAAGAAACAACTCAAAGAGACAGTACATTAATATGAACCAGGTACAATGTTCAGTAAGAAGATGACAATAACAGAGGCAATACAATTCTATGAGCAATTACAGGAATAGTAATGGAAAGATACAATAACAGTAATGAAAAGAGAGACAGTAAAGATAGGTACTAGAGTAATTCGAGAGGCTCTAGTCTCTTCTAATTCACCCAGAGGTGCCCAAAAGTCCCAAGTCCAAAGATGATCCCCTCAAGCACTCATTCCCCCTCTTAAGCACTAACCCACAACTAACTTGCTCTCCCACGCTTGCATTCTGATGGAGGGCATTTTGGTCAGTAACTTCATTTGGGCCATTGGGCCAACTTCTGCATTTGGAGTGGGTTGGTATCATAATACCGCCCATGATATTTGCAAAGTGAAAAGACAGGATGTAGATAAGTAATGGGTTCAGGGTAAAAACATACAATAGTTTTGTCAAGGAAACAATTCCAAGACATCACCCTATGTACATACCTATCTTCAGATATTTCACATATTTATATATTTATTTATGATTTAGTATATTAATATAAACTGGAAACACCAGGTGTGTAGTAATTTCAAACAAAACAATTAACAAATAAAAATTGTTTCATGTTATGCATGAAAATAAAATGTGATGGCAAGCTTTATTATCGAGGAAGCTATTTCAGATATAACTGCCATATAATTACTTGTGTCATTTGAGATGGAGGCACTAAAGTAACGTGGCTCCTCAATTATGGTGAATGAATAGACAGTAAGCATGCATAGCATTTAAAATTTTGACATCAATACATTTTAATGTGTTTCTAAGAATAATGTCCGACAACCAGCGGACCGTAGGGAAGCTAGAATGTAGAGATTGTACTTACTGTTTTATCCCCAGTTCATATCAAGCATCAAGGAATTAGAGATTTGTACTTCTATTAAAAAAGAAAGAAATAGATTAAAAAGAAAGATGGTACACTCAGAGAAGATAGAATAGTCCATCTTTTGGATTAGAGCACCGGAGCAAGCATAGTGTGATGAACTGGTTTTATTATTAGTGAAATTCATGGCTCTCACAAAAAAAGGGTACTGCAATTGCTTTTAGAGGAAACACGATAGTTACAGCCCAAAAGGCAGAGCTAGATAATTAAGGAATTGTTAAAGTGATAGGCTGGTTGATTATGGTGGCAATAGCAGTATCAACTATCAAGTTTAATAACAACAATTCATGAGAAAAGAAGACAAAAAAATAATTTTAAATTCCAAATCTTTCTGAGCTGGAGGTGAAGGAAGAAGCAGTGTGATAACGCCATGATACATGTTTGGTCGTTGTTTTATACTTCTAAAGGACGTTTTATGACCAGAGCACTGTAGTTTATGAGCTGGATTTGATTTTTACCACATTTTGAGATTCACAGTTCCAGAATACCTAATTTGGCACCTCCCTTTAAATAACATAATGATGCACATGGCATGATACTGATTAGACATTTTCATACTTAATTTCAGATGCAATGATGATGACTTCTTGTTTAAGTTCTTGAGCTACGCACTCTATTTCTTACATGATTCGTTCTCTTTACATTGTTCACATAAACTGCTACTACCTCACTCCAAGTTTTTCAGCAAGATATACACATACATTGAATACACTGACATATTTTAGAAGTTATTTTTTTGCAGTTGATATTAAAAATAACATGTTTTTGCAGCAGGTTCCAGGGCTGGAATACACATGAACCGTGGAATCAACAGGGCACAAGAAAGTTGAAAAATACAAATTTGTGGTAGCCCAATCACTATACATAATAAAACCATGAATCACCAATTTTGTATATTTTACCCAAATTGGAAAATGTGACTGAAACTTTTGTCATCTGTCGTGCAAGTATAAATGGGAAAGAATGAAGGAAACAACTTACCATCTAAAAGAGCTTCGGACACCTCATCTCTTGTCACATTCAGTGCCCTCAGTAGTATAGCTATGTTTTGGGACTTCTTGGGGTCTAACACCCTATTCTCCTGATCAGTGGAGGGAACAACTGATTTTCTAGGAGGTTCTTTAGGGGCAGAATTCGTGGCTTTGCAACCAAAAAGGGACTCCATCATGTCCTCATTTAATCTAATAAACAAAAAATAAAATAAAATTACATAGCACAGAAATGAATATCAGTTCAGAAATTGTATGTATGTATGTATGTACTAGAAGACCAAAATTATAGGAGTTAATTTACTTACTGAAAGGAGCTTGATTTTAACTGGTCCCACACTGTAGCTCGGTCTGAGGTCGCACGGACTTTATCCCAATGCAAAGCTTTTAACTTGGGTTTCGCCCCATCCATGTCATTGGCTTCTACACTCTCAGAAGACCTCACAATTTTATCAACATTCTCTGAAGCTTTTGTTACACTTCCACCAGAACCAGCTCCTTCACTTGGACACCAAGACTGGTGCTTTATAGATGCAGAAGAAGAGGAAACGCTAACCGCCGGTGACCCTGATTTTACTGGTGTTTTTCGTGGCTGTGGAGGAGGTGGTGGCGGCGGCGGCGGTGGAGGAGGAGCAGAAGGAGGGGGATTAAGTGAAGTCCTGGATACGGGTAACGCTGTGTTGGTCGTTGACTGAAGATGAGTCAAATTCGGAGCTGGGGGAGGCGCTGAGAACTTTGGTTTTCTCGACGGCGGAGGCGGCGGCGCCGGAGCCGGCTTTATAGATGGCATGATGACGTGTCTTATATCCGGCGAGGAAGTCGAAAGCCGAGACTTTGGCGAAGTCCTCTTCGAGAACGGAACCGGAGGAGTGGAATGAGTCTCTCTCCGGGCCGGTGCCGCGGCGGGGCTACCGTTAACAAGAGAACTCTGACGCGAAACCGGCGTGTAAAACCCATCCTCGTGACTGAGCGAGGAGTTCTGCGGCGAGTGAAACGCGGTCTCGTGGCTTTCCTCGTCGGAAGAGGAGGACGACGACGACACCGCCGGCGGGAAGTTACCGTCGGGTAGTTTCCTCAGAGGAGGCAATGGTTGCAACTCAGGACTTGGACGGTACCGATCTGATAGCTTAATGGAATTGAGTTTGTGATAAGGTGACCCTTTTGCCCCTCCATTGGGTTCTCTTTGCTCATTCACTGTCACTGATGTCGTTCGCATTGGTTCAACGGTCCCAATGTAGAGGAAGCTCGACGGTGGCGCCGTTGAATCCTCAGAGTTTCTCTGTGGATTCCCACCCATGAGTTTCTGGGTCTCAACGGGGTGTTTTGCCCTGTGCTTGTACAAGAAGAAAGCGAGTCCCGATAGCATCCCAAGCGTCACAATCCCAACGGAGATCGCAATTGCAACCTTCTTTGTCCCCTTCGCTGGCTGCGTCGCCGTTGGGTTCGCTATTGTGCTGTTTGAAGTTGAAGGTGCTGCTTGGTTCTGATCTTGGGGTGGCCCCGCCGGATACTCGTGGAAGAAAGGAATGTCGGTGTCCGGAGATGGCGGAGTCTCCAGAGGCGGCGGCGGAGGCGGCGAAGGTTGTGACTCCGTGCCTGCTGGCGGTGGAGCAGAACTCGCCGGAAACAATGGTTCGTGAAGAATTCTTCTATTGTCAGATTCATTTGCAGTTGCAGTGGTGGTGTTTACCCCTTTTGCAGTGTTGACTGGAATGAACAGGGACAGTGAGATAATGATGATATAGAAGCTTAAGCAACGAGCTTTCATGGTGAATTTTTGTGGGTTTTCCTTATTCCCTTTTGTTTCACCCAATTCATGTCCGGGTTTCGTTTCGTTCCCCCAAATTACTCAGCTCGAAATAAGAGAGAGAGAGAAGAAAGAAAGAAAGAAAGAAAGAAAGAGAGAGAGAGAGAGAGGAAACTTCTTTCGTGAGTAAGATCTGGATGCCCCAACAGCTTCCGTCAGCAGAAGCCGCATTTTCTCTTTCTCTTTTATATTTTATTTTATTCAACTTTTTTTAATTAATGTCTTCGTCAACTGCAGTTTTTTTTTTTGTTCGTAAATTCTAATTTTCCGTGTAATAAATGAGGGAAATATATACGGACAGAATATACTATTAATAGGAAGGAAACGTGGTAGTGTTCGGGGCGCTTCGGTGTTTAGGTTTTCAAGTTATATATATAAATAAAGGGGTTTATTAATCTCATGTTACATGAGAGTACTATCTCATGTGGATGATACAAATATGTGGGGTCCACAATTTAAAAAGAAAAGAAAAGATTGGCACAAAATTCTATGGGTGTATGACATGAGATAGATATCTTATGTAGCATGAGACTATCATTTCCCATAAATAAAGGTAGAGATATATAAATATATAATTTGAAGGAAGATGATGGCTGTGTAGTGATAATATTTAAAAATTGTATACCAAAAAACAAAAATTAAAAAATGAATCTCTCCATGTGCTTTATCGTTGTTCGTAGGTAACTAATGCAAGGCACAAACTCGATCTTTGATGCCGTTGTATGTGTGTGAATCCTGCCGCTTTGCCTTTTTATCTTTTCTACAGTTGAGTAATTGATTGGTAACTCCAAATTCAAAAGGTTTATATTTTTATTTAAAATAAATAAAAATAATTTAACAAGGAAAAACAAAACAAAGATCGTGTCGTCGAAATCTAAAAGCCTGGCCATACAAAACAACCAAAATGTAGCCAAACAACATTCTCTATTACACCCCATTTTCAAGTTGTGTCCATTTTATCATGGGATTTATGCCTTGTTTGTCTTCCAAGTTCAAACATCTTTTCATTTAGCCATTGAACCGCTTGGTTGGCCAAAAAACGTTGGACTATTTAAACTATAGTTATCCGTTTTTCTTTTGGAGTTTTACTGTAATTATCTGTTATTCATCTATGTTGCAACCTGGCACAAGCAACACTAGTGTATTATAACCTATTTCTATTTATTTAATTTTTCTCTTTTACTCTACATGCTATCAATTAATTATTAAGGTAGTATGTGTTGGCTTGAGTAAAAGGAGTTCGGATTATGTGGGGAGAGATCGATACTATTCGGACCGAATTAAATCGTGTTAGATAAGAAAAATTCATATTATTTTTTTTGTTGAAATAAGGGCAGAGCCCAACAAAACAAAAAATATCAAACTACAATAGAGAGTATCTAGTTCCATGAACAGAAGTAACATCTCACAAGTACTGCCACAGTGCCACCTAATATCAGGGGGAGAAGAAGAGTAAATCATAAGGTCCTCTAGGTCCAACATTTCCAGCGTAAAATTAGTAAAGTCAATCCGCACAAGTATTTCTTTCTTTAAATATATGCACAAGTTGTACTATCTATTCTTTTGTAAGTTATTCTCGTATCCTAGTCACATCAAAAGACAAGACTCACAAGATGCATCCCTGGGTTTGGTGAGCAGAATAATAGCAATTGCAGAATCACTTTCTAAAATTATTTTCATCTAACCTCCATCCCAAACAAATTCTAAGTCTTTAAGTGTCCCCCAGAGCTCAACAGTAATTGCATTGGAGAAATTCGCTTAATATGAGAAAGCAAATAACCAATTTCCATATGGTCCTCGTATTAGTCCACCATAAGCGGCCCTACTTGGATTACATGTCGAAGCTCCATCTGTGTTAATTTTTACCCACCCCTCAGTTGGTGGGACCCACTTAACAAAAGTTTCAGGATAATTTCTCCGTGTTTCTCTATCGTCCAAATTAGAAAAGCAGAAAAAATTTCCAGCACTTTCAGCTTAATCACTTTAGATTTATATATATTAGCAGTCATACCTGAACCATGGACAATTTTATTCCTCCAACACCAAGCCATCCAACAGGTGAAACTGAAAACTATTCCCCATTGGTCACCAAGTAGTCTCGGTTTTGTCTGACTTAAATTTCGGAACCGCTAAACCTTGCAGCTCCAACTCAAAGAAGGTTGCTCTTAGATTATTTGGAATTATTTTGTAGTAATTTCAGCTTAATAAAGAGATAATTGTAGATATCAAGTAGAGTTGCTTTGGATTTTTGAATCATCGAAGATTTTATCAAATCTTCACTTTTTTTTTAATTTAATCGAAGATATTTAATAATAGGATAATATCTCAATATATGTAAAGTAGTTTCTTCACCTTGATTGTAGGGTGGGTATGTAGGCTCACCTATATGGAGTCTGTTCATTCCAGCTCTAGTTGGAATCCTATCATGACCGACTTTCCAAAGGAAAATTCTTACCGTTTGAGGCTCCTTCCATCTCCAAATTGCCTTCCATAATTATGGTGTTCTACTTTGCTCACTTTGAGAGTCAAAAAATGCCTCATAGACCTTTATTAATAATCTTGGGTGTTCAGGTATGTGCCGAACTAATCTGGCCTCACCTTCATTTCGAACAAATGCCATGATACTCCTTATGCAGTTAATGACATCAGACGACAGCCATCTTGCAATCTCCTTATCATCCAATTGCCAGATTCATCCATATATTGATTAATTGTCTTATACTCTTATTAACCTCCTCCCAAGAGACAGGTTGAACAACCTGATATAATAATCTAACAGAATTATTGATCCACCTATCCTTCCAAAAGAGGGTTGATGAACCATCACCGATTTCCCACATACGCAGCTCTTCGAGTTTTTTCCATGCCTTATAGACATGGGTCCAGACCCCAGAATCAATCTCAACATTTATGTATGTTGTTGGGAAATTTAATTCCGTGTTAAAAAATTAAAATTTTCAGCATTATAAATAATTCGATGTTGTTTGTTCAATATTTACCAAAAATAACTTTTTAACAAAAAATGTACAAAGTATTTAATACATAAAAGTCAATATTAAAACTAATATACTTTTTATTTAGATCATTAAATTGTGTTACGTTCTTTTAATATTTTATTTTTAAAGAGTTGACACCTATGAAGCACCGACACTTCAAAAATCATGACGTGTCTTGTCTGACACTTCTTGACACTCTTCGATACTCCGACACTCCAACACGCATTCCAGAGACTCAAAAAAAGAATTCAAATGTTGCGTTGCGTTGCGTTTTTAGTACCAACTATTAGATTCGTTGGATTATGATTACCATTTTATTGAGTTTAATATAAATATTTAGGATATCTTATGTTTTTTTGTAAAATTGATTAGTATTATAAGTCTAGCTTCACTTTTTTGTTAAATTATTGAATATTAAATATAATATACACTACATAAATTAAAAATGTTATTTAATATCAAAACATGTCCTAACGTGTCGAAATCTAACATTTTTTAGAATTAACGTGTCGGAGTGTCGTGTCATATCGTATTCTGTGTCAGTATCGGTGTAACATAGATTGACACCACACAACTGGTAATAAATTGACGAGTTAACAAAATAAGCTAAGTAAAGTACTTCTTTTATAGGGTTCGCTTTTTCTGCAGTTACTGCAGTTAAGTTATCTGCAGTAAGCCCAATACGACGTCATTTTGGGGCAAAAATTATGGTATTTTTGTAATTTTAATTTATTTCAGGGTTATAATAGTCTTTATATTCATAATTTTTTAAGAATTCAATACCAAAACGACGTCGTTTTGACAATAAATGCAGATACTTATCTGCAGTAACATTTTTCCCTGTTTTATATTAGTATAGTTTTTAGGAAAATTATACTCTTATGTTACATAAGATTCATCTCTCATGTTACACTCACATAAAAAGATGTGCATCTTTTGTTTTTTCCTTTTCCCTTTTTAAAAAAATTGATGGACCCCACTTAATTTTCTCACAACATAAGATAACTTCTCTCCTAAAACATAAGAGAAGTAAATCCCATAGTTTAATACCTTAAAATAAAAAGTTTCAAATTCATTCACTGTATTTTTTATTTTAATAACTACATCTTATTTTCCATTCCCTTTGTGTATGTATAATATACAAACAAACTAACAAACTAATTAGGAAAGCTTATTTGACTGAACTTATTTTTAAGCTTAGTAAGACTATCAATTTTATTCCTCAGAACAATCTTCTTCTCCATTGTTTGAAATTCAAAGTTTTATCTAACAAATCATTAACACTATTTAATAAATTAATCACTTAACTAATAAAACTAATTATAATTCATATCACATGCTATTCGAAATAAAAAAAAAAAGAAAAAAAGAAAAAGACAACTTGAGTGTTATGCTTGTCCGATTCTACCGACAGAGACGATGGGAAGGAGGAGGAGTGATTAACTTAGCATCCTCTGTATTATTGTTGTATGCTTGTAATATATTATGTGTATACCAATATATTATGTGTTACCATCCTTATAATATAACGTAAATTATTAAGTAACTATAGAGATTTGGGAATCCCAGGTCATACATGTAATTTACGAAAAGTGATGCATGGGGTCACAACGTCTTCTTCTTTCTGCTTTATTTTTCAGTGGCACTGGCAGATTGATTCACCGACCCTCTTTGTGTTGTGTGGGGGACATGCACACGCCCAAGGCTAATGCTTTATCACTTTTCTTTATCCCTTTTTCCCTTTTGTTTGTATTTGGACTCCTCCACTACGCAAAGACAATGCTATCCTTTCACTAAACGGGATGATTAAAGTCATGCCTTTCTTCAAAATTATGCATTTTGCCAACTCTACGGGATTACCAAAAAAAATAAGTGAAAACAATTGTGTGAATTTCCATTTCTTCATTTACTTTAAATAAACAATATTTTTATGTTTTTTTTGTACCCAAGTTGAAATTTCTTTTCTGATTGCCAATAGAGTAAGATAGGTGGCTCTTAACGTCTGCAATAAATATAGATTAGGACAATGCAACGGGGCTTTTATCTCATTA